AGTGAGAAGGGATGTATCTTGATGAGATCTATGCCTTATAGAAAAAAATGGATGTACATTTTCGCTTTTTGAAGTACACATAACAATCGGATGCAAATCCGATGTTTCCGCATTTATTTATTTATGGCGCTTGTAGTACCATATTTACAACGTACGATGATACCATTCAGATTGCTATTCCATTCAACTTGAAAGTCACTGCCTTGATTGAAATTGATATTGAGGAAAGAAAGTCTATCCTTATTATGTCTAAGCCATTCAATAATACTATTTGAAATTTCGAGTTTTTATTTCATCTGTAAGAACATGTGTTGTCGGTGTTGACACCGCGCGATACAAATTAGCCGAAGTATTAGACGTAGATCGATGAATCGAAGAATTACCTAGAATTACGGCAGCTGGTGATAAATAGTTCAAGATGATGTTGGATGTCGATGAAAAAGAAGAAATCTCAATTGTTAAACAATCTAAACAGCGTCAAAATAAGCTCTTGTTTGTTTTTAAATAGTTATGTGAGAGTCATAATCGATGATTGGATGCCTGGAAGACGATAGATGGAATCGTTGCTCAATGTAATGGACATATTATTTTTTAAGATCAATAAGTTCATCTGATTCAATATGAAGGATAGCAGTTAGATCTCTACAACTAAGAAACAAATCAGCACTGCTGAATTCTTGAAAAGATAGCAGTTGAGCAACTTTTTCCCTACAAGTTGCTGAATAAAATCATAAAAATCTTCATTACAAAGATCCATAATATTGAATGGAAGAAATTTTGTGTTTATATTTGAATATTTTGATAGAGAAATATGAAGAAAAACAAAATTATGCAACTATTAGACTGCCCCTTAACTAATGAAAAGATGGAAATGAAGTTAAACGAATACAGAGAATCATTTTTCTCCTATCTTCAACATGCACACACAATAAGACAATGATACCCAGGTGATTTTTCAACTGTTTACAGTTCTACGTATTCGCTCTATATTGATAACTTGTGTGTCGGTAAATATCACATTGATATAACATTTTAAGATGAAAAATACAAAAGAAACACCATAGCCTTCTCGATTTTGAAAAGCAACCACTTGATTCCCAGTGATTTCAATGATTTACAATGATTGCTTTGATTGCAATCAGGGGGGGGGGGGGGGGGGGGGGGGGGGGGGGGGGGGGGGGGGGGGGGGGGGGGGGGGGGGGGGGGGGGGGGGGGGGGGGGGGNTCCCAAAACCCCCCCCCCCCCCCCTGTATTTTCCCAGATCTTGATCTCAATCGATAGAAAACGGCAATTGGTACTTTACGCGTCATTTCTATGACCATGTTTCAAGGGAGGGGAAGTTGATTCAGTCTATCCCGGGCACCGTCGGGATACACAGGATACGGAGGATACAAGAAGGATACAGAGGAAATAATTTGACATAATGAAGAAAATATAAAATGTACCCGATCTATTCAGTGAAAATACTGGCTACTCAGTTCTGACAAATAAGTGCTATCGATTACGAAGAGTGTAGTATGCACTTCGTCAAATATTTCGATAGTGAGTATATCATTTTATGTGATGTAATTATTGAAACTTAGAAAAATAACAATATTAATTAGTGAGTGTCTAAAAAAAAGCTGCTATGACTGAACGGCTAAGATGGCTGGTAACTACCCATAAGGTGCTGTGTTCTAACACTCGCCCCATCAGTCGTAGAATGATCTTATACAACTCAATAACGACTGCATTTTCTCGAACTGATCATCTAATAACAAATTGACTGCACCTTGACATACACTAAAACGCCCTTGTTGGTAGTATGTGATTAGTCTTTATGTACGCGGAGCTTATGTAATTAAGCGATGAGAACTGAGAGTCAGGCCGGTCTTCTGTTCAGAGCTACATTTAGTAATAGATTGAGGAAAAATATCCAGTTTTAAAACTATCCTCACACATCACTCTTTACCACAAGGTAGCTCAAAGGCAGTGTATTCTTCTTTTTCTTCTTCTAGTGTCTAACGATTCTACCCATTTAACGCTCTCTTAATATGCGCAAAACCGTCGGCTGAGTCAAATGGTATACTACAAAAATCCGTAACTCCTATCTATCTTCTTCAGTATATTCTATGTTATTTTTTTCATCAAGAAGAAAAGGCGAATCGTGACATTCCTTGCATCCTTTTCGTTTCCATCGTATTTCTATAATATCCTCTTTAATCCATTATATCCTTCGTATTTTCATTATACCCAACACATTCCAGGTGTGTCATTCCTATCCCCCATCGCATACTATGTATCCGCACCATATCCCTCGTATTCCAATTGTATCCTTCGTATCTTCTGTATCCTCTGTATCCTAATCGTATCCAGGACATGAGGACCCATTGTGTCATGGATACGATCAGGATACAGAGAATAAATCCGGGATACAGAGGATGCCGGGATACCACAATCCGCTTTCCCGTATTGCCTTGTGTTCTGATTAATATGATTTATAAGACATTTCGTTGAAAACCAATGAATACCCAGGTAGAACAATCGGGCACGGAAACAGCCGGCTCTGTGGTATTCCGGAGATTTCATGGAAGCAGTATTCTGGTGAAAGGATCCGGTGATCGGATTTATCCGGTTCCGGCCGGAATCGACATGAACCTGTCAAAACTGGTAGCCGGATACGATTTCCGGATTTCTGCATCGAATTCCGGACAATTCCCAATGGGTTCCGGTCGAAAACAGCGAGTTTGTTGCAGGCTTTCGCCGGAAATTCACGGAATACTGCTTCAGGAATCATTGTCCTGGGTATTTAACAAACATCTTTAGTTTCACTTGGAAGGACTTTTTTCCAGTAATTCCGTTCTCGATGACCGAGACGAGAACTTAAATTTTTCATCCAAATCTTTTCATTTAATCTTCACAGTGATTGTGTTAATAACATATTCGATAGTTTAGTTTGCGAACATTTGCAAAGTTGTTCTGACACTAATTTTTTTTTTTGGTTTTCCTTCGTTTAAATAGGCAACTTTCAACGGTTGGATTGAAATAATGGCTGATGCAACTGATATCAAAGAAGTATATAGCTATTTCTATTCGATTTTGCAATACATATGTTTTCATTTTAATACAATGTTATAGATAGATGTTCAACCAGAATATGAAGTTAATGTTTATATCCTTATTTATTTTGTTTTATTTATTGTATTTGGTGCATTTTTTACACTCAATTTATTTATTGGTGTTGTTATTGATAATTTCAATCAACAAAAACGAATGTTAAGTTTTCTTATTTTTTAATAAGAAGAAAAAGGTGTAAAATATTTGTTGATTTTTTTTCTCAATTTTAGATAGGACTTGATGGTTCAATAGATATTTTAATGACAGAAGATCAAAAAAAATATCGAAATGCTTTAAAAAAAATGGTTAAGAAAAAACCGACTAAAGCATTCCCAAGACCAAGAGTAAATGTTTCAAAGAGATGAATATGCATATATGTATTATTTTTCTATTTATTTTAGTTTGCTTTTGCAAGATTTCTTTTTGATTTAACAACAAATCAAAAATTTGATATATTTATAATGATATGTATTTTTCTTAATATGTTTTGTATGTGTCTTGAACATCATAACCAAACGCATATTTTTGGTCTGACTCTTGACTATATTAATCACGTTTTCGTCGCAATGTAAGCAAATAATTATTAATAAGTCAGAAATATATATGAGAAAAATAAGTGTAACTCTTACATATTAATGAACATTTCATGAAATCCTTTTTTGTTTCGCATATATGATTAGCCGGGGGGGGGNCAAAATATAATTGTGAGCATGCAATTTGGCATTGATGTGCTGAAATTGTATTGCATGCGTGTCACATCCTAGCTTTTTCGTTTCCATTTCGATGATGAAGAGTTTCAAGCACTTATCGCTGTAATAATAATGATCGATAACTCTTCCTTGGTCAGTCATTTTGAATAATATTTCTTGACACATGGGTGCCCTTTAGATGTTTTAATTATCAGTCCGCAGGTTAGGTACTCAATGAACAATAAAGTTTTTACCTAGTTGGATAGTTGGCAACTGTTCTTTGCATCGTGCCGTGACTCATGGCGTTTTCTACTTCATTTTCATCAAAATAATACCAAATTTCTTCAATATTTTACGACGCTGTCTTGATTAATCTTTGATCTCGCCTCAGCTTTTATCAAACAATTTTGACTACCTGACAGCTGTATAGTCAGATGGATTCTTATTGTAGAAGATAGAATATAATTCATTGTAAATGAATTTCAGTTGCATGTGAATTGCTGTATAGACTCTCGTATCAGAAAGATATTTTTCCCTATTCACCCATACTTAGAAGTCGATACTTTTCATGGAACTTTTTCATATGATATTAATATTTGACTAATGAGGATGAATTGTGGACGAGCAATAAAATCAGTTCCGTTTTCAGCTCTGCTTGATCTGACTTTCATTTCTTCAAACTAAGGGTGAATCGATTCTCATCTCTACGCAATCGCGATTTCAATGAATACCAAACAATTATTCAGCCCATCAAAATTGGAGTGAAAGGAATATAAAATGTCAGATTGCGCCCCAACTCATAAGCTCTTTTTATGAGCCGACCTTTTGCTAAGAAACGATGATCACGTTTCAAATTATTATGACTCTCTTATAAGCTCACAGAAAATAGTTCCATAAAAATGCTAATTTATGATGCCATTTTATATCGGTTGCGGCGCCATTTTCTCGAACTGGAGAGATCACTTAAATTCATCGGTCCGCTCTAAATTTTGAAAAACTTGAAATGATATTATTTCGACTCTGCGAAAATAAAAGTTCAATTCACTTTTTAAAAGGAAAAATTTTTGTCGAAATACAACTGAAATCTGAATATTACTAATTTAGATTTATTCTTGAATGTGTTATGAAATTAGTTGCATTGAATTTTAAATATTTTACTATTCCGTGGAATGTTTTTGATTTTATTATTGTAATTGCATCAATTCTTGGTAAGTAATATTTTTGTTGTCATTTGTATTGAAAACTTCATTCTTTTCCATATTTTTTCTTTCTAGGTGAAGTATTAGGAGAAATTATTACAAATTTTTTGGTTAATCCAACATTATTACGAGTTGCACGCATTGCACGTGTGGGAAGAATTATGCGTCTGATAAAAGGTTCGATTTGATGGGAATCAAAAATCGCAAACTTTTTAAACTTTTTGTTTTTTCTAAAGGGGCAAAAGTTATTCGAGCATTGCTTTTTGCACTAGTTGTTTCAATGCCCGCTTTGTTTAATATTGGTCTTCTTCTCTTTCTTATCATGTTTATCTATTCAATATTTGGTATGTCATTTTTTGGTTATGTAAGAAAATCGGCTGACATAACAGATTTATTTAATTTTGAAACATTTCCTAATTCAATGATTGTACTTTTTCAAATGTGTACAACTGCCGGTTGGTCTGGTGTTTACCAAGCATTAACAAATGATCAACCACCAGATTGTGATCCAACTCTAAACCTACCATCTCATAAAGGTGATTGTGGATATACAGCTATTGCAACACCATTTCTTGTGAGCTATGTAATACTTACTTCTTTCGTGGTGGTGAGAATTTCAAAATTTTCTATCTTAAAGTTTTCTTATTTCATACCATCATTCAGATAAATATGTATGTCGCAGTAATATTGGAAAATTTTTCTCAAGCACAAGAAGATGTGCAACAAGTAAGCATACGAAAAAAAAATCATTTTGACATTTTTTGTTCAGGGCTTAACTGATGATGAGTATGATATGTACTATGAAAAATGGCAACGCTTCGATCCATCAGGTTCACAATATATACAATATGATCAACTATCAAATTTTGTTGATGGTCTTGAACCACCATTACGTATTCCGAAACCAAATCATTTGTTACTTGCTGCTATGGATTTACCTATATGTGAACATGATCGTGTGCATTGTGTTGACATACTCGATGCTCTTATAAAAGATTTCTTTGGTACGCTTCTTGTACCAGTAGCAGATACTGAAGATGATCCATCACATGAAATTGAAAAAAATCGTCCGAAAAATTACAAACGTATCACAACAACATTGCAACGTCAACGTGAACTTTATTTAAGCCGGATAGGTTTAAAAGCTTTTCGGACTAATGTTGAACGACGTCGAGATGAACGGAAAACACGAGAAGCAATATCTGAAAACGCTATAGTTGATAAACTTATTGGATCGTATCACTTAAAAACATCGGCACAATCAAGCCAACAATGAATATAAGCTGCTTTTTGATACATCATCAGTTTGTTATTTTGAAATGACATTATCGTGCTAATGAGACTATAGCAAAGGACAATGTTTATATATTAGACTAGACTTGCCTGCAATAATACTATTACTATGCAGAATTGCATTCGTATTTATATATAATTGCAGTTAAGCTAAATTCACCGATTGAATAGAGATGTTCATGTGCATTTTAATAAAACGATTATATTCTTACATATTCTATTTAGAAAAACAACGTTGAAACTCATTGATCGAACAACGTTTATTGTATTGAATATTCACTTGTATCTGATAGATCGATTAGTCTATGATCAGTTACAAACTTAAACGGAGGAGTAAGTCACCTTTTAATTATTTTCAAATTTATCAACTATTTTTTACGTTCGAGCATGATGTTTCAATGAATACAGATGTTGATATCACCTGCATGAGTGTAATGAACAATCTGAGTTTATAAAAAGCTTTTCTTTCACTAGGAATGTGTTGACGAATTTAATAGATGGAATAGCCAGTTAAACCATATATTTGACATCAGTAAGATATACGAATTCGACTTAGATTTTGTTAAGGAGAAGTATAGATTTTATTAGCTGAAGTTTTTATTATTCGTACAATATCGAGCATGGATGTAGATTCGATTGAGTTTTCCATTTAATTACGCCCATGTATCCACCAGCTCAGTTTCAGTTTTGTAAACAGTAATGTTTTCCCCTATCTACACGATAGACTAGAGCAGTGTTGCAATCGGTACCGGGAAACGGCCGGTCCGGTCCGGTTCGGCCTACGATCACTTACCGACTGGTGGAAGCGATATTTTTCAGACCGGTCGATCTAGAAAATTTAGCTATTTTTCGCTTATGTTTTAGCGATTTTTTTCGAAAATAAAGGATAAGACTATTTATTTTTGCATGTTAAACAAATTTTACTGATATTCATGCCACAGTACACAGCAAAATGCAGTAGTCTATTTATATTAAGTCAATAGTTATGAAACTAAATCTTATGTACTTTATCTGGCTACTGCATTATCATGTTATATGTTGATGAAAAAACCGAATCAAAACTTGTCCTTACAATTTATTGCATATTTACGTCTATTCTGCACTATGTTCCATTAATTATGTACTCTTGTCAGAGCCACCTTCTAGAGCTCCATCTATGTTTTCTATCCTATTATCACTATATAACATGAACACGATTGTTTGAATCTATTTTATATCTGACTGTATTATATTAAGCCCAAATAAGTTGATAGTCTCCTGAAGGTTTAAAAGGTTGTGGGGTAAAATGAGGGTGTGAAGAATAACCACAATAAATTGTTATTTTATTTATTTTATTTCGATTCTATTAGAAAATAATCATTATCAAGTGGCAATAGGTATCAGTATGATCCAAAGATCTAAATAATACAGTAGGCATTCAGGAAAACATATCAATTATCTGAGTTCATCTATATAGTCTTTGTTTCAGATAATGATGATAGAAAAGCGATTGAAGTTATTGAAGAGTTTATTGATGGTGTTATCAGAAGGGTTCAGCTTTTAAAGTTCCATGTAACATTTTATGTTTTTGCCTGCAATACTTGAGTATTTTTTAAATTTCTTTTCGGATGTTGAATGTTAGGACAAGGTATATGAAGTCGATGATGGTATATAAAACGTTTGTCAAATAGTCCATTATTGAATTAGCGTTGTATTTCAATTCCATTTTCACCAGCTAATAAACATAATTCAGTTACATATTTCCAAAATTGACTAATATTAGTTAAATGATCAGATACGAGGGTTTCTTCGAATTTGGTTACGTCACCATAAGCGATTTGATCGATATTTACACCAGTTAAATATAAAAGATTTGCAGACAATGATTGTTCATAAGGCCATTGATTTATTCGATTTTTTTTACATCTTCTACATTGACATGTGTTATCATCCGTACTAAAAGACATCATAAATAATTTAAATTGAATATAAAATCAAGAATTTATTACCAATATCTAATGCCTTGAAATAGTATTTCTTTGCCATTTTTGTCATATGGATGCAACATCCAAAGCCGATATTCTTGTGTAGTTGGATAAATACCAAGATAATCATCAAGTTTATTGCTCTTGAACATTATTTTGTTTATAATTTGATCAATGTATATGAATTTAAAGAAATATCTTATAGAATAAAATCTAAAATAGAAAATATTATAGTTTGATGATTAGTGTCTAGTGGAGTTTTGAATAATACATCAGAATAGATATTAAAAGATGAAAAATTCTTTAAATCGAAAATTTTATTTCACTATCACCAAATAATTCATTGATATAGAAGCATATATGATAAGATAATTGATGAATTTAACCAAAGTGAGATTTTTTAGTGTACTATCTATATAAAATAAAATGAAATATTAAATGTTGCTTATATTTGAAATAAATTGATCATTACCTTTAGAAAGTTAATAGATGTATAAAGATGATTTCTGTGTGTTTTGTTTTTGTAGGAAAAAGTAATTGTAGTCGGTCATATCAAATTGATGTGGAGATCATACCAAAACAGAAGAGATTGAATATATTAAATGAAAATATCTAGAATTAAACATGAAATATTATAGCTTGCTAATTAGTAAATAGTTAGTAAATGAAAACATGAATGAGAAAAGAAAACACAATTAGAACATTACAATAAGATAAGACAAAGAAAAAAATCAAATGCCTTTTATTCGAATAATAAGTTTTCTCTACTCGAAAATCTTATGTTTTGTTTTTGTCTAAAAATAGTATCTTCATTTTTTGTTCCATATGATATTGAGCACGTTGAACCATATTTCGTTGACGATTTTCAATAGCATTCATAACAGTCTCAACTGTTGGTAATTTGTTAAATTTATTTTGTTGGCTTAAAANGCAACCAGATACTATGTACAAAATTTATTCATAGGATTCTCTCTTTTAATGTAATTTTAATCATTTATACCTTGGAAACTTTGTGACACTTTGTTTAAAAAAACAAAATGTCACTTTACACTGTAATGGCAAAAGTAAAACGTCATTTGACTTTTTGTTTTAGATTCCTATTAGAAACGCTGGAGATAAATAATGAATAGCCATTAAACTATTTGTTATATCCTATGTATTGTTTTCCTTTAAAATTATAAACATAAAGTTATGTATAAATATACTGGTTGATTATTCTACGACATAGTTTTTAAAGATATATATATATTTTTTTTCATGTGATCGTCAATTAAAAAACTAGTGAGTAAATAAGACACGTTAGTCGTTTTATTTTGAATTTCAAAATATGATTTCTACGACGAAAATTATTAAACCTAGAGACAACTTCTTCCTCGCTGAAATCCTCATCAATTCAAATTTCAGGATAAGGTAGTAAATAATATATATGAAACTGCCATAAATCTATTTCTTCTCGAATTCGAAAGTACTGTATTCATACAAGAACATAATAAACAACAATTCAATATTTTATCGAATGAATAGAAACAGAATGAAGCATTATTACGTAAGGTACGAGTAGATATTTCTAAGGGATTATAAATCTTTGATACAACTCGCAATTTTCCAAAACAGTTAGCATAAATGTAAAAATACGATTGTTGTTGAAATCAACACAAATAAAAGCGATATATGACTCTTACTTAAAATTTTTATTTAATATTAAAAATATTTTCATCGTAGATAAAACGATACTAAGTCTTAAACATTGAGTTAATGTTCAATTATTTTTAATTATAAGAAATTGTTGCTTATTACTATCATATTTCATGAAGAATATGATGGTAATAAACAGTAGGATATCCGGTAGTTCATTAGACTTTGACGTACCACAAGGCTTTTTAATGTTATGTATATAACAACATAGAACTGAAAATAAATTCGATGATGATCGAACAATTATATATATATATATATTAGAGAACAGATTACAAAATCTGAGATCAATAAGTAACTGAACATCTACTTTCATGTTGGTCGATATTCTTGGTTTAATCTATTTTCTCATGACCTATTGGATAGGATTATTTTCTTCTTGAAGTCTAGTCAAGAGTTTTCTCAAATCAATTAAGGCTGATAGAAAAGATTCCTTCAAAACTAAAGGCAGATCAACCAATTTTTTCATTCATTTTCCATGTTAACATTCGAAGTCCGAAAATTCAATATTTGAGCAATTACTTTTTGTCGATCTATTAAATACCGTTAAATAAAAATTGGTGAAATTAGTAAAACTACCTTTATCAACGTATTTTTCGAAATGCGCATTTTTTTATACTGATAGCTTAAGATACTTTTTCAAGTGAAAAAATGTTTGAATTTATTATAAACAACTGAATCTGTTTTATAAAATTCAATTTTTAAACGCATCAGGTTTTTACTACGTGTATAAGGAATATTCGTTTAGGAGAAAATGTTAACTGAAAAACTGTAATTCTTTCTAATTCTAGGACGAATTGAACAAATACATAACGAGTAAAACATTCGAGATGACTGAAAAAGTTGTCTTGCCTATTACATTTCATTAGTGTTGACTTCTTTTTTAGGGTTTATCAAAGTACACCTACTTTATTTTAATCTACAAAGATATTCGTCAACAAACCACAAATTCTATTGATATGAATAAAAGAAAATTTCAAGAGACATTCGTTTCAACAGAACATGATGACAACCAAACAAAAATAATGACTCATCAAGATTCTGCATCTCTTTTAACATTACCCGTTGAGCTTATCCATATGATTTTCGATAATCTGAGTGATTTTACAATTATTTGTTCACTTCGTCAAGTGTGTACACGATTGAATTCGATCATGGATGCTTATCCTGGATATCAGGTAAGTCGTAGCATTTTCAACAGTTGAGATATCTTTTCATTTAAAGAAGGAACTAAATTAACGGTTGATTTCATAATAGTAATAGTTCGTTGGTAATATTTTATCATTATGTAAAGAAAAGAATCGTGCAAATGCATTCAATTAAATATTACAGAATACATCTTGTTGATTTCAATAAATTTTATACTTGAATATTGACCATAGAGACATTTACAGAAGAGACTACACTGTGGAACTACATTAATTTCGATTCTACAAATTGAAACATAAAATAGTATATAAGGATTACTAGGTTATCGTAGCCAGCTTCTTCTATCGAATTTCCGAATATTATTCGAATGATTTAATTGATTGTCAAAAGTGACTTTGGCGAAATAGGACTTGAGACAATTCATAACATTGTCTCGAGAAGGGAACCATACCTAAAACGTTCAGTCTAGCATCGGTAGATCACACTCGCTCGAGAGCAATTATTGAATCATAATACTTCTGTACTGAAATTGAAAACAGCGAAATTTCTATATTTCCTACAAGACACTGGAAAAGACGTTGTATTTTAGAGCTCAGACTTTTATTCATTTACCACCAGCACTGCAGCGAAAACTATGTATATTTTTTTACAAAGGAACTCGACACTTTGTTTTTATGCGATGAAGTCGTCGGATGCGACCAAATAAAACACATTGTTAATGCACTACGAAATAATCCAGTAAGTCTGATTTTATGTTAATCTCTCACGCATGTTTATCTATATTTTTCTATACATACACTCACCACAATCCAGCTCCGTCAGAACGCAATAGGTGCTGTAGAAGTACAACACCTAACAAATGCATTAAAAACAACACCGTAAGAATTCTGCATTCTAAAGCTATTTTATATCACTCCTGCGTCTTTATACACAGACACTAACCGAATTTCATCTCAATGCGAATCATATCGGAGTCGACGGAGGAAAACATTTTGCTGATGCATTACGGAATAACAAGGTAAGCCATATTCTTAGATTTACTTTCGCATGCTGTCGTTTAAAATTTTCCACATAGACACTCCTCACACTCGATCTGGCCGGTGCTGGAGTTGGAGATGAAGGAGCACATCTTCTGGCTTTTGGATTGCAAGATAATACGGTAGGTCTTATTTTATAAGTGTCTATGCTACATAATTCTCGGCGTTTATTCACACAGACACTCACAACACTCGATCTCGGGTCTAACAATATTAATGCCGAAGGAGCACAGTATCTGGCCGATGCATTACGAAATAATACGGTGAGCCTGATTCTCTATTAAATTGGTTCATATAATTTTCTACATTTATTTACATAGACACTCACAACACTGAATCTACGAGTCAATGATATTGGAGATCTTGGAGCGAAATATCTTGCTGGTGCATTACAGAACAATGCGGTGGGTATCGCTTTCTTTTCGTATTTTAACATATTTTATTGTCCGCTATTATATGCAGAGACTAATGACACTCGATCTGGCACTTAATGACATGAGAGAGGAAGCGGTTGAACATTTTATTGTGGCATTACGAGAAAATAGGGTGAGTGCCATTTTCTTTTGATCACTATGATATAAATAGTTGTATTTTTTCTAACAGACACTGACAACATTGAAGTTTGACTGGTACCGGGTGGAGCAAAATCTGAAAGATCGTTTAAAGAACCAGATAAAATGTAATAAAAAAACATAGACATTTATGATGGTTTGCTAAAACACTGAATAGTCATGTAGAATATATGATTACTTGTTGCTTTTGCGATTTTGAAAATAAAATAAAAAATTTTGATTTTCTTATTGAAAAGCACGATGATAATGATTCATAGTTATTATTTCGGATTTTTAAAGGGTAAAAGTACGTCAATTATATTTTCAGTCTCATCCTGCATATATATGTTTTGCACCCCCTGAATGCTCTTTATTTCGTATCCTTAGAAGAGTGTGGGTGTGTGCGCCGGTCTACTCTTCATTCGCACCCACACACAACGATTGTCCTTTTAGATTTTTGAGATGCAAATATCTTTAGGTTCGATTTATATCAACAATTGTTTTCCTTGTAGCTACATCAGATATGTTGAAAAATGAAAAAAATATTATTCTTGATCTTATTTCGGTCTTAGATTATCTAAATGCGTACTTTGATTTTGAATTCTTCATCTCCCTTAGAAAACAAGTTTAGACGTCAAACAAAAAGCAATAATTTAATTGGAAAAAAGTTCTTTTTTGAAAGATCGAATGAAGATCTGGTTATGAATATACCGAAATCGAGACTTTCGATCTTGATCTCGATACATCTATAGATCTAGTGAAACAATTCAATCATATATTCTTACTCTTAGCTAGTAATTTGAAAGATATATTTCAATTGAATAAAAATCTATCTTTCTTTTTTTACGTCAGATACATCGCCTATCGGTTAAAAAACATCATACCAAGAACAAGAAAAAGCTCGATTAAATCAACAATAAAAACGATAATAAATATTCGTTTATTTTCTAATACAGTTCCTTTCGCTCACAAAAAAAATCCAGCTGATCACTTTTTGTGAATCACCATATCAGATCTAAATAATAAGATCAAAAGTCCATTGCTTTCACATTAGAGAACAATTATTGCTATCTTAAATTATAATGTCGATGATAGAACCGGGTTCTTTTTGTAAAGAAATTAATTTTCTCTTGATTAATCATAAAATGATTCTTTTAGCAACTGAACGTATGTTAACTGAACTATGGCCAAAAAGAAAACATCGAAATTCAAGAGCTTTGTACAACATTAAGCTGATTAAAATAGTTTAGTTATCTATTATAAAGCATTCTCGAAAAGTTTCAAGTTGATAGGAGAAGAATTTTTTAACAATCGAATTTGATGAAAAATAACTGATCAACAACTAGCTAGTACCTCTCATTAACTTTTCTACTTTTTTTTCATATAAATATATTAAAAAACTTCTTTTCAGTTTTAATTACTAAAGCATAGAAAATATTTGAGGAACTGTTGATGACAGTTGACTACATCAGCAATATCACTATCGTGAAATAAAACTGGTACCGATCGTCAAGAATGCCATACATGTCGAACTTGAAACTTGAATTCAACTGAAACTTTAAGTTTCAACTTTCAAGGGTGTGGGTGCCGAGGAAGGGAGATACGCTTGTCTACACACACATATGTACCCATATTGTGGGTGCCGGGGAAGCAGTAGTGTCAGAGCAATAACGTCAAACCTGAAACTTGAAGGTTGAAACTTGAAGTTTCAGTTGAATTCAAGTTTCAAGTTCGACACTACTGTTGAAAATGAACATATGAATTACGAACACGTCGATGACAAAGAATTAACTGAAGAAGATGTACTTGATCTTGCTCTTGGAAATATTAGTGAAGAAGTAACACGACATAAAATTGAGATGCGAAAATTTTCTCTAGGATGTTTTTATTTTATAGAGTGATGATTCTTCGAAAGAACCTTCATCAACTGCTCAGTATTCAACTAGTCAAACAATTTCACATGAAAATAATCTTGGTGAAATATCAGTGAGTAAAATTCATAAAAATTAATTCATAAGAATTTTTTAAGAGATTGATAGTTGAAAAATTTTTTTTTGTTAATAATTCTAATTATCAATCATAACTATAACCTTCAATCAAAGATGTATTTATCAACTATAAACCTACAGCCATTAACACTATTAATTAAAACTATCCCCTTATTATAATTAGTTACTAGACACAGTTTTTAATGTTATATGCAACTTTAGAATAACCATAATTGTTAGTCACTATCCATGATGGTGTGTTTGATATGGTCCCCCCGGCATCATCAAAAGGACACCCAATCACGAAGTTTATTGCTCCTATTGCACCATTTTTCTTTGTTTTATCACAGCTACGAAGAAAGATAAACAACCAATGATAATAAACGATAGACAAAGAGACAAACATATACATGTAAACTAAATCGATGACCGTCAGCTATGGACGAGTTTATTTTTGGCAACAATAAAACAACGCCGTACGATACGTCAAGTAAATGAGTTCGTTGGTAGAATTGAAAAACAATGGACATACTTGACGAACAATTATGCATTTTCTCTATAAATTATTCGTCCTTTTTTTTCTACCCTGCATTATCGTGTTGTGTTTTGTCTTCAACAGACGTCATATAAAAGAAAGAAAAATGGCAGAAAAGCAGGTAATTACTTTTTATACAATAATATAATGTTGATACTTACCGAGAAACCTATTGTATTCATGACCACGAACGTGATTAATAGACATAGTTAACTCAGAGCCATATAGAATGGTAAAAACTATATCGTTTAGCCATTCAAATGACAGTAATTTTCATGGATAGAGCTGACGAGTATAACTATAATTGATAGCTAGACTCATCACAGTGACGATCGAATTAGCATCGACAGTCGAAGAAAATTGAAATTATATCCTTTAATTTTTTTTCTTTTTTTCTTACTCTACTTATTATCAATTGATCTACCGTAATTAGGAAGAAAGTTCAGAGTGCGCTGTATATTTTGCTGTATATTTAGATTGCACATTAAGTGCCGTTTAAAATGTAAAACATGTATTAGGAAAACATGTAACATTTGTTTTTATTATAAGATATTTTCATGCTGCAACATTTTTTATTTCACGTATATCTTGGCTGAGGTAAATGACAAAACATTGAATGCTTTCTCAAAAGATGCGCCGTGAAAAGCTCTACAAAAGCTGTATGATTGAATTCCTTTTGATCTATTCGAATGGTCATTTTTTTATACTCAAAAATGAACAACTTACATGACAGTGCCCCTTACCATCATACTGAAAATGTTGGAAGACGTTTTTGTTCTGCGCATATCTCGACTTGTGAAAATGATGGAATATTGAATTTTTTTTCTAAAAGATATGCCGTCGAAAGTTCTAGAAGACTTGTATAATAGCTCTACAAAAACTGTATAGATCAAATCCTATAGCAAATAAGAAAAGTGCTCGAAATGTTTTCAGTGTGATGAGAAGCGACATTGTCATGTAAGTTGTTCATTTAGAATATAAAAGAATCCATTACAATATGTTAAAAGGAATTTGATCATACAAGTTTTGTGGAGTTTTTCACGGCGCATCTTTTTGAAAAAAATGCAAAGTTTTATCATTTACTGAAGCCGAGACATACGAAATATAAAAGATTTTACAATGTTATGGACATCCAGTTATGTAAAGAAAAAAAATGTCAGCATTTCTTCTAATACATTTTTTTTTACTTTCAAATGCATTTGATGTTCAACCTAAATATATAGCAAAAAATGCAACACACTGCTTTATATATATATATATAGTGGATCAATAAATAAAAAGCGTACAGTAATAAAAAAAAGAAAAAAGGCAATGGGTATAATTTCAATTGCTCTCGACTGAATATATATATGTGCGACTTTTCTTCTATTTACCATTATCGTCAGTTGTTCACCTTCGTAGTTGAAAATAAAACAAGGGATAGTGGCAAAGAAACAGGTCTTCGCTTTACTGAATGATGAAGTGTATATTTTCATTTGATAGGATTCTGATGAAGCACTTAAAGATAAGATAAAAGAACTCCTGAAGATGTGGAATAAAAAGGATTTAACAAAAGTGCAATTCTTGGTAGCAATGAATCTAATTGTGAAGGCTCAAAATGTCACAAATCAAATTTAATGTTTTCCATCGTGAATGCAATTTAATAGATAGACTATTTCACTTTAGCATATTCTGGTAATCGTATTTGTTATCATATAGTTTATTGTCTTTTGTTACTTGTTCATTATCAGGTTTTTTTTCTTGAATTTGATCATCACTTATCTTTTGTCTATCATTTATTGAAAAACTTTTTCTCATGATCCATTATGATATGTTTCGTTTCTTATTCATCATTATTAGATTTTTGTTAATTGCGATGATCCTCTGATAGTTTTTGTCTTATCATTTATCAATAAAAAGTCTTTGTGATGATTCAACTGCGATTTGGTTATCTTCTGTTTCATATGAAAATATAATTAGTGAAAGTGATCTAGATAAAATTCTTTGTCGAATAAAAATTTCTAAATATTGCGAAGTATTTAAGAGAGTGTCCATGAGGGTATCGAATATATGAGGCATTTGATAAAAAATATTTTTTGCTCATTCAAAGGGTGTGGATGTGTGTATGCGACTATGAGGGAAAGAATAACACCCACCCACACTCAAGGAAAGAGTTTTTGTTTAATTTCGTTTACAAATAGAACATACATAGTTAGTTCTTTCAGGCAAGTTAGATGTGGTTGAATTGCAAGTGCCCCGAATCTAGAATATCAACTCGCAAAATCGAGATTTCAAAAAAATTGGCCTTTTAACCCAAAGTGCTCCAACAGAAAATTGTGCTAAAATAAGATGAAACTATCAATATACTAATGTCTCGTTAAGACGTGTTTTAGAAACAAATTTCCGACCTGTAGTGATTTCCAGTCAGGAGATATGAAATGCCCAATATTAGCAAAAACGCGATTTCCCTCCATTAGTGCTATCAATAGAATGTCAAACATTCAATTTATAGAGCTGAAATTTCTTGATTGTAAAGACCTTACTGATATATAAATCCATAGAATATTTCAGCTCTATTAAATAAATTGTTATTGAGATATAGCCTACCCAAAATCGCATTTGGTGAAACTTGAAGTTTCAGCTGAATTCAAGTTTCAATTTCGACATATATGTGATCGAGTTATGATAAGATTGATACATTAAAAATGAGCTTTTCTCTGAAAGATAATTCAATATTCAATTTTCTAGCTTATCTTGGTATAGCCCCTTATAAGTCACTCTGGATAAATTATAGCGCTCTTTTTTTTATTTATAAATATTAAACTGAGAAAGACTTATCTGACTTCACTTGACCGTTTTTATGCAAATAACTAACATCATGGAGCAGATTTGTCTGGCGTAATGTTCTTCTGATGAGAGCATTGTAAAAACTAGATTCCATTCGCAATGAGACTCATGACTTTTCGATAAAAGCACACTGCCATGAATCAGACGACTGAAATTTAATACATCGAAAACTACCTATAGCTCGGTGATTCTTTCTCTTTACTTATGTATCAATGTATGCGTCGAGAAGAAACTTCTAGGTTGGTTTTTTTCGCGTTCGGTAACAAAAAATCTGTCACCGAGAGGTAAGAGAAAATGTCTTTTATTTTAAATGTGTTTTTTTCGCTTGTTGTCCTCAGTTCTTCTTTTCGATGTTTTTCCTTTATTCTAAAGATACATAATCAAAATCCAACGAGAAGAAGGATTGAAAAAGTATTTATGATGGACAGTCCTATCCAGCCTCCTGTTAAGCCAATCTCGCTAACTGCAGATCCTCAAATACAAAAAACTCGTAAAATTCTTCTGATTGTACTTGGCATGCTTGTCGTAAGTGTTTCTTTGTATGATTATTGGGCTGCTATCATGAAAATACGAGCTTTTTTACCGATCTACTTCAAGTCTGAATTAATAGGGTCATGTGGTTACACGAACGACAAAAACTAATCATGACAATAAAGTAGCTAATTAGTTCTATATTTTTTATACTAAAGCCGGTCTAATGCATCATCAATCGAATAGTTTTCCGAAAGTAAAGTCTTTTAGGTCGAATTAATCACTTATAATGTGATAAGCACGAAATTGAGCTTGATTGATTCTCACTAATCTGAAGATAATTTAACCATTTGACTGCGTCCAAACGAATTCATATAACGATAACCATAGTGCTAGAAAACTTTTTGAATTCGACGAATCTGGTTTTCATCAATATTATTTATGATTTTTTTAGGTTCTTTCTGCGATTAGTACAATTGCTGACATTTGCAAAACTACTATACGTGAAGATAGTGTACGCAGGCCTCCACGTGGTGTGCCAATTGTTGAATCACTAGTTTTACATCTTGTCTACAGCTTCGGATTTTTCGTCACATATCGATACCATAAACTAAGTTTACAAGTGGTATGAAAATAATTCTTTTTCACTATTATAACATTCTACAAAAGTAGATCGATTCAAGATATAACTTTCAAAAATAGCTCTGTTGATTTAAAACTTGAACACTTCAAAATATTGTTGTTGAGTCGGTCAAACGAATTTTTTAATTGATTGCAGCAGTTTATTAGATTTAGTTCAAACGTCTCACGGTAAGAAGATATAGCGATTATCCATAAGATTTTCTCTGACCCCTTTTGAAGAAGTTTCTCTATCAGAATTCATGATCGTATTTACCGACAGCGAGATGTTTCAAATGAAGTGTTAATGATAAATATTTTACGCATATCTAGACAATACAAAATAATATCGGAGCTATGTTTCATCTAAAACTTTCTAATTCAAGTTGATAAAGTGTAAGAGAAGAAACATCTGTTCAGACATGTCTTTCGTTTTGAGATCATAGATATATGTATCCCTATACGAGAGTACGAGGAAGCAATATTTACGAATATTACTAGTGTAAGAAAATCTTCTGGTCAATACTGATAATTTTAGTTTGCTTGGCTCAACGTTGTTCTACTGTTCTATTTTGGTATTGGATATGTAGGTTTCTTAGTTGGAACGATAATTTTAGCTTTCTCAAACTCCGATGAAAGAAGTATATATATATATGAAAATCGTGATATTAACGTACCAGTAGGCATCTGCGTTTCTATTCTTACAATGTCTGCTGTTCTCGTTTTTACCGTAAGTAATATAATTTACTCCTTGCCTTCGGTGTTATATTAATTCTTTTACTATTTAGATTTTGATTGTAATGCTGTCTTTCAAATTGGCAAAGCTCATCCGTATGGAACAACCGGGGACTGTTACATAAAGTTAACTTTTCATTACAGCGAAATTCGAACCATATTAATTTTGACTGACATGTCTTCATGGTGTTCTACTTGCATACTTCTTCGCTCTTAACAATTAAGAAATAAATACGCACGATTTTTTTCTTTCAATCATTTGTTGAACAAAACCGTTATTTATACACAGAGACTATGTTAAAGAGCAAATGTGGGCGTGGGTGTTTCCTACACAGCGACACCTACACCTTCAAGTTATATAAAAAAGTAAAAAATAAATTTTTGTCATTTCGGTCTCTGATTTTTATTTATTAAAAAGAAATCATCATTATATACAACAAGAAGGCAAACAAACTAAATAACTAGATGTTCGCACCATAAATATAAATTACAATTAATATACTTAATAGAATAGTTTTTAAATAAATTTTCTGTTTGCATCATTATATTGATTTCTTTTACGCATACTTTTGGTGTATTTGTAATACATGAATAGAATAAATTTTGTATTCTATAATTAGTTTTTGATAATAAAAATCGAATGATTTTTGTTTTATTTCTGTTCTATTCATTCCAGTTTCGAAACATTTTAATTGTGGAAATAGATTAACCATGAATTCAAGTTCATGCAATGAACATCGACCGTGAAGAATTAAAGATTTAATTTGATTTCTCTTGCATACATACATGTCGAACTTGAAACTTGAACTCAACTGAAACTTCAAGTTTCAAGTTTCAAGGGTGTGAGTGCCGGGGAAGGGAGATACACTTGTCTACACACACATATGTACCCATATTGTGGGTGCCGGGGAAGCAGTAGTGTCAGAGCAATAACGCCAAACCTGAAACTTGAAGTTTCAGCTGAATTCAAGTTTCAAGTTCGACACTACTGGTAAATTAGATGTAAAACACAACAATCGAATAATATCTTTCAATGGTGTACGATACGGTTCAAGGATTCTTTTTCGTAATATGTTCTAAAGGAATCATAAGATTAAGATTTTGTTAGAGTTGAATCTTTTCAATCACATGACAGTGTAAATGTCAATTGATTAGCATTGGGAAAATAATTTAGACAATTATCTTTTATTTCACTACAAATATATAGATGATTAACTGATTTAAAATCTTCTTCTTGATGTCGAATAACGTATAAACTTTTTTTCTTCTAAAAGAAAAAGCTACAAGACTTATCTTTGTTCGAATCACGCGAGAACTCTTATGATAGAATTTAATTTATATCTACTGATATGGAGTAGCCGAATAGAAAATGACTCTATCCATCTGCGATCTCCAATCATGTTGATGTATAAAAAAAAAATTTTTCTCAGTCCAAAACGACGAACTGAATTATTTAATTATATCATGTCTATTTCCGATAGAACCTTGATATTTCCTATCGAATATACGAAATAGGGCATATGCGATACGATTAGTTGTTGCCATCGTTTAGCATTTAAATATGTTTCATCACTGCTTATTGTCAAACGTAGAATTTCAACATAATCAAAATATTGTTTGGTAATATTTTCAAATTTATTGAAATCGATCGAATTCAATTTTTAATGAAACATATTTTAAATATGGTAATTGAATACAATAAGATAGAGCATCGGTTTTTACAATATCATTCGAATTCACAAGAGCTTCGATGGACATATGCTGAAGTTGAGGAAGATAAGATAATAAATTATTTAGGCCACTAAATGAAAACTGACCATTGATGATTAAATATTGAATAGAACTAAAAACAGGACCAGTCAAGTCAAATGATATTGACTTTTGATCGTTTTTAATTGAAAAATCGAAGAAAATGGAACGTTTAGTGATTGCAGACCATCAGCAAGAGAAATAGTTAATGAGTGCAATTCAGGTAAATGTGCTAAATGATTAGTAAGCTTAGTAAAATCTTTCATTTCCATATGATCAAATATTAATGTTCCAAGAGGAGTGAATCGCAAAATTGTGTCAGCAGACGAGAAAATAAGTTCGCTCATAAGTGGATTCGATAAACGAATTAGATGGAATCGATTTTTATTTGGCATAAGAATATTTTTATGGTAATAGTCGAATTTTGATTTTGACATTGTTGAAATGTTGATTTGATTTGGAACATTTTAATTGATGATAAAATTTTGAAATCGGTGATTTAAATTGAAAAATCCTCTATGAATATCATAACGATCAAGATATTCAAATATTTCATACAAATTTCATTGACTAGATCTTCAAAGCGACTCCTAAAAAATAGAAAACGATTCTTTTTTTCTTCTGATGTTAGCCAATACTTCGCGTCGGCATCCTTGTCAATTGTAGTAATAGAGAAAGTGAATGTTATTATTTCTTGTATATAGACCATTATCTCGCTAATAGAGATCAGCACTGTCAATAAATTTTTAAATATAACTGAGTTTTTCCATAGTTGGCATACATCGAAGTAGAGGCAATACTAAATTATCAGAATGATCTGATGGTGATTGAGGTCAAGGAACATATTGTCAAACTAGGTAGATTATTTTGGAGAGATGAAACGACAACGTTTCCAAACGAAGAAATCTCTCGCTGATTATCACAATGCTCAATGATGAAGTTTCAATAAAATCAATATTAACAATAAAAGTTGTTATTTCATTGAAACGACCTTCAAGTATACGCAAACAATCGTCTATTGTATGTACATTAACATTTAATTCGATTAGAATCCGCGATGAATAGTTGGTCGTAAGATAGGTGAATCATCTTGAGAGAAAAAACTAAAGGATGATTTGGAAAGATTAAATTATTTTTTTCTTCATAATTGATTTTCATACCTGCTAAATATTTGTATAGAATTTAAAATTAATTTGCGAAGCTTAGGATAGTCACCGGCAAGAAGAATCTGTTCCATTGACGATCGTTCAAGAAGAAAATACTTGAAAATATTGCGATTGACTGGAGGTAATGTGCATCAACAAAATTTATCAAGCATAAAACTGGGTAAGAAACATCGTTTATCTCATTATGTTTTACTTGTCAAATCAGTGAAGATTGTATCATGTATCAATCGATCTAATCGCTTGTTACCGCTCTCAATTACGAATAGAAAACATCAACATTTGTGAATGTATTAAAAATCCCAATAAGCATTTTATTATATTCTAGAGTTTAATCCATAAAGATTCTCAATTCGATTTCTTTAAATGAAAATAATACATTTAAAAACTTATTATACGCTTCATCTTGTGTTATGAGTTACTTGCATAGGGCATAGCATGGGAAACATGTTTTAGATTAGTTTTACGGGATAAACTTGTCTTCTGAAATGAAATAAAACAGAATACGAGAATATTCTAGGAAAAAATTATGAAACTAATCTATTTATATTTGATAACAAGTTAATAATAGTTTTCTCGTTATGTAATTGTAGTTAACAGAGAACTCGAAATTTTTTATTTCATGTTCGTGTAATCGCTTTTATTGACTCTATCGAATGAAGCATATGGAATAACGAACACCCATTTTATTTTATTTTTTATTTGACTAGATCGAATTTGGCAAACGTCTATAAATCACCAGATTAACTTAAAAAAAAGATTTTTTTAAATTGTTAAACCTTTGATCAATTGGATGCATCAACTTTCATTTAAATCATCATGTATGAATAATATCGTATTAAATAGATTTGATAAGATATATTGATGTACAATTTCTTTTTGTTGCACTAATAAGAGACAAAGCAAAGAATTTATTTTGTATTTTCCCTCGATACTATGTTTTGCCCGTACGAGTGACATTATAATTAATCTCCGTTGTGAAAGAGACAGTTGAAAGAAAAACATTTTGATAAGATGTAAGAGTATTATTCTAAGTTATCACGATGTTACAGTCTAACTTCTATTTATCCAGCCAAAAAATGATTTCTGTATTTGCCAATTGAATTTAAGGCGTTCGTAATGAGCTTAGGCACTCGCAGTGACACTGACAACTTGTTGACCTGTGATCACAATGGCTTATTCAATTATTCAGATGTCGTATATGAACCATTCAGTCGTTTTAATCAGGTTTTAGATGAAACTGATAAAAGAGAAAAATTAAACCTTGAAGACCTCCCATGTAATAGAAACCGCATGAAAATCGGCAATTAACACCGATTTTACCGGTCCGGTTACATGCTTTGAGGGTGTGAGTGTGGGGCGCCATATGAAAAGGGAACCGATTGGTGGGCATTTGACTTCGAATCCGCTGATACGCCGAGTGCATCATGTATGATTCCGACAGCAGTTCAGGAAAGAGTAACTCATGGTTAGATTATGATCAATTTGTTACAGATCCACGAGTTTATGTACTTCTGGTATGTGAAGAAACTAAAAGAATCCGCACTCTCAAGATAGTTCGTCATGACAGTTATGAAGAGATACAAGACTAGTCATGCTGCACATCTTCCCCTAGTTTTTGCTTGTTTCGGAGCAGATTGATTTTTGTTTAGATAGCCTCAACAACTTTAACTAAACAACCTGATTTAGTACAACGGTATGGAAAACATTCAAGAGGCAACACTCTTGATACTCATACCCGCGTCTTATGCATTACCCTATTGATCATTATCCAGAATACAGCTAAAGTTCGTATAATACTATAGACTATGAATATTTTAAGATAGTTGGCCAGGCAGGCTCTTCTATCGAATGCTAAGTGATTGATAAGATTTCACTCGATTTTTTTGCGAAATTCCAATTCTTACTTAGAAAATCGCTAATAATTTGTTCAATGAATCTTTTCAATTGGAACTTTAGTTGATTTTAATCAGATTGTCGTGTAAAAAAATTGGAGACTAGGCAGAAAACATGAAATTCGTACAATGATAATTAATAAATGTGGTTTTCTAAGTAAAACTTTTCACGAGGCGCCTTATATTCGCACACTTTAGAAAAGAGAAAAAGTAATCAATAAAACAGAAAACAAACCAACCACATGCTGCGTATTTGGATAGTCTTCACTGCTAGATAAGAATTATAAAACTGTTCTTTAGCCTAATATTATGACATCATCATGATCGTTATTGTCATCGTTGCTAGCCACCTAAAATAGAATTTAAAAAAGCTGAAGCTATGTATACGATAAATGAAAATTTCTAAGTCATAACTCTTTAGATGAAACGCAGTGAATTTGAAATGGGATAAAATTCAGTTAAGGCACTTTTTTGGCAAAGTACAGCGCCGAGTAAAACATGTTTTATTCCGAAAATGAAAGATATTTGTTCATCACAACTTTGTTCAAACCATTTTCTGACAGCAAAAATTAAAAAGATCCCTTACTAGCGGAGCAGCTTGATGTCGGCTGTTGAATTGTATATTTCTGTATTCGATTGTTGCTCTGATCTGAGACATACAAATTTCCTTCTGCATCGAATTTCAAATCTCTTGGGCCATCTAATTGATTTGCAGCTGCTCCTACTGTGCCGGTGTAAGCAACAACACAAATAACGCCTGTTGAATAATTTGTTGTCCATTTGACAATTCTTGAATTACCATAATCAGCCACATAGATATACCTGTTAGACGAACATCGAAATTTAAGAATTCAAAAATTGAATATAAGAGCAACTAACATGATTATATTTCTAAGCGAGATAATGAAAGCAACTAAGTGTCGGGTAACTTATTGATTGAATATGAGAAGAAAAACAACAACTGAGTAATGATTTCATGACTTGACACTTGATTTTGCCGATGGAAAAAATTATTTATTTATTTAAAAAAAAGCTTTGCCAACTTGGTCGATCATCTATCCAATGATCAAATCACATTCAAATCACAAATTAGCTGTTTCATCTTAACATGAAAACATGAGAAGAGTTTCCTCATCCACCTTCGTTTTTTTTACAATTTTTCGTATCGAAACAATCCGTATATAATATTGGATCAAATAGTCGATATTTTTTAAGCAATAGACCAAAACAGTGTCCAGTCGCGTTGATTCCTGTAATTCTACTTCGTATCTATTTTGATCCGCCGTCTCTAGAAATTCATAAGGCTCTTCATCTTTCGGTCGCTCATCTTCCTTCTTTCCTTCATATCTCATTATGATCTCGTTTGCTGTCTTTTCTCAAGTATTGTTAACTTTCTTCAATTGCTTATATTCTTGCTTAGTAGCCTGTTCTCTCGTGCCCCCACTTCTTGTGTACTATATTAATAAAGGAAAGCACTCCATTATGTAGGACGCTTGGGTCGACCTAAATTGTCTGGAGACATGGAAAACTCCTGCAAAATGAACATGTTTGTAAACAGATAGGTGTGAGTGTGATACTTAGCGTAGCTCATTTACCCATACACGCTCGCACAAAATACCCAGAATGATGGTTTTACATTGAAAATCAACGGCTACATTTGCAGAGAGATAATAAATTATCCATTATTATCGACAACGACTGCTATAGGACCATTCAATTGCGTTAAACTCGAGCCAGAGGAACCAGTGAGACTGGCTACAGTGGTACCACTTGTTGCCCCAGTCAGGTACATCTGCACACGGTTACTTCCATAGTCAGCTACATACAGCGTTTCATTTCCATCGACGAAATTTCCATATGGGTTGGACAACTGATTTGCTGCTGAGCCTGATCCATAATTGCCGGCTAAAATTACCCCGACGCCGTTGTTTGGGTAATATTTAATAACATGACTATAATCTGAATCTGTGACAAAAATGTCATTATTGACATTGATGTGCAGATCTCGAACTTGACCTAGAATATTTGTTGTGCTATTGATAGCTAATGTTGTTCCGACCGTTGAGCCGAGAGGAAATCTTTGAATTCTATAATTTGAACTATCGGCAACAATAATAGCACCGTATTGATCGACGGCAATACCCTTCGGCGCGTTCAATTCACTTGGACTGTCACCAGGAGTAGAATTACCAGCCACCACGGTGCCGATTGTATCATTGGTATGATATCTAACGATTCGATTGTTGTCTCGGTCAGCTATGTAGAGAGTATAATTGTTATCGACAAAAATGTCCACCGGGTTGATGAGAGATGCCAGATCAGACCCAGAATTTCCATTTGAATTACCAGCTACAGTAATTCCGGTTTGATTCCATGTAGCACAAGTTGGAATTGACAGTGCGTATATGCCGGTTGGAAGAACTGATAATGAAAGAAAATAAACTCTAGCTCATTGCCAAGAAATTTAAGCAAGTATTACATGTTAATATTGACGTTGTGGTAGTATCGCTTGTCGTTGTCATTGTCGTCGCTGTTAATAGTACAAGAAAGTTTCAACCAATGAGTGCTGATTTCATCGTGGAAAAATTCTCAACAGTATAATATCTAGTCTCTGTTCTAAGGTTGTTTTCCTGTATTCTCTCTTACGTGATAATATTATGTACGATAATTTTTGATAAAGTTGATACATGAAAAGACGAAACAAAATTTTGTAACACTAGTAAATTTGAAAAAATAATTGCATCATATTAGTATACTAAAAAATAAAGACAAGAATGTCTCTTTTGTTTTCCATTCAAAAACTTGCAATTCGTTCAGGTTACTTGTAGAAATCCTTTTAGCAATTCAATTTTTTGAGAGATCCATCTTCGTTGTTAGCATTATATCCTAATACTAGTCACTGAAACTATGATAGATCATAGATATGTTTGGAAATTTGAATAAAATAAAAGTCTCATGATACTGAGGCTAAATTAGATTGAAAATTATTAGAGAACAGAAGAAATCACGTGATACGGTCAGCGTGTACTACTATCTGGCAACCATATATTGGTTGTATCCAATGAAATAGCAAGTTAATTATTAAAAAATTTATCCAGGATAATAAAACAACATGTGCTGCAAAACCACAAAAGGCTTCAACTTTCTATGTGCGTCGGGGTCTTATTTTAGGAAAAAAACTGTAGTTGCTGTGTCCTTGTAGGGATATTTTACAATATTCAAACATTGAAAATTTTGACCTCTGATAAAAAAAAACTCAAATAGCACGATCAACATATTCACCTGTAGTCGTCGTCATTGTCGTGCTCGTTGAAGCTGATATTTCAGCTTAATTAATAAAAACATGGAACAAAATTATGAAAAAACATGAATAACAAAAGTGTACTTTACATTTGGAACCCAAGAGAACAATGAGACCAGCTGCTAAAGCTGAGCCCAATAGAAAGATGCCAAGCATACAGAGTGATGTGCACCACACAGAACGCGGAGCATAACAGCAACGTCTGAAAACAATCGATTTACCTATTGTACGCATAGGAGAACTTACCGTCGTTTAGTTTTTTGTCGAGAAGCTGCTGAATGATGATCTTTTACTGACTTCATTCTTTCCGATTGTTTATATTTCTATTTAAAAATAAACTGTCATATCAACAGGTTAATAAGCGTCATACAGACTGCACTAGTGCTGCCAATCTTCACATGATGTACATCTTCAAAGTCTTGAAAAATCTGCAATGTCACGCAAACGATTTTCATCTTTATTAAAATCAACCAAGTATGCTTCTACTTTGCTATACGATAGCTAAGAGAACTTCAAAAGTAATCGAATGCGATTAGAGCAAAATCAAAAAGTCTAGGCTTTTCTGTCTTCGATTATTCTCTAGTCGACTTGAAGCACAATCAGCTAATTTTGATAAGTTTGGCATCGTTGTTTTCATACCTGAGGCTGTGACTGATTGAATATTTGCTGAACTTCTTCTTGTTTCATCGAGCTTTCACTCAGACTATGCCATCTTAGAGAACCACTTTTGGAATGACTATTCTCGCTGAACGCAAATTCATCAGTGCTCTAGTAGAACAAAAAAAGAATCCTGTTAGACTAGGTTTCACTTCCCTGTTCAGCGTCATGCCATATCGATCTTTTGAGTTGTGCTCAGAACTATTAATGCGTGGCATTTTGATTGAAAAGGATAAAGAAAAAGTCGCTTTGAGGGATGCAAATTAGGGTTGTTTAATTCAATTCTCAAATAAGCGAAATACAATTGTACTGTAAACAGCTGCGTCCGAATATAACTGCGTTTAGCGACATCATTTAAATGCATAGCTGTACGTATATTCTCTCATTTTACACCCATTTTGAGATGAATACTAAAGCATTCTGGAACTTTTAGGCGGGAATAAATTCAATTGTATTTGCATCAATTGGAAACGTGTTGACTACAATATAATAAGGTTCTCATTTTCAACTATATTTAGTTTACTCATTACAAATCTGACTTGCCCCCCTGATATTGACTTCAGAATCAAAAAAGCTTATCTCTTTTGATTTCATGTATATTTTCGAAAGAAAACCGTAGATTTCTACTATGTTCGTTTGATTACTATTGGTGAGTAGGTGAAGATGATACGCGTGATTAACACAAAATCTAAGTACCAGACCATGTATATTGACATAATCTGTTATCGGGATACCTCCCACCAACAAAATTTCAAAACATAGTCGACTTTCTTCGAATGTTTTTTATATTTTCTATCAAATTTTAAACAGCGTGAATTCTGGTAGAAACTCGGGCTTTACGTGATATATGCCACTTTTCAGGTACAAAGTCGATGAATTCAATATTATTTTTTTCAATTGGTACTGGCAAGCCAGATGAATCGATTCTTTCGCAGCTTGTAGTCCCTGCGTCTTTTTCAAGACAATTGGGAATCTTGGTACTATTGGTCGACACCAACGAAATATTATTCATAAAATGTTCAAACTCATATTCGTGGAACATAATCTGTCGAACGTTTTCCAGCGGTAGATTTTTTTTTTCGGTGTTTGTTTAGCATCGTTCGAATAGTTTTGAAATCTCTGTGAAATTATATCAAAAATTAGCCTTATAATCATTTGAGTTATTGTATTTCCCTGAATTTTTTTACTAGTTTTAGAACCTAAAACGTCTCCATTAAAATTTATTAAAACTACTTCGGTCGAATACCGCAATAGTATTGAAATAGGCCTGATAATCATCAACAGCTCGATTTCTTTATTTGTCTTCATACTAATCCTAGTATCGATTCAGGTTAAATGTAGAATAAAATTTGATATGGATGACATCGTCACAATATAAACACGTCGTTAAAGTAAAAAATTCAAATTTTCACTGAGCAAAATTCGATAATATGAATGTTTATTTTTCTTACTCCTATTTGTATATACTTTTGTGCGTACGTAGATAAGACAGTGACGCCGCTGCTTAGTCCCCCTCAGGCAAAAAGAGTACTTTTTTCTTTTAGCTTGCTCTCCTGTATACTTTTTATTATATATTCATTTACATACCTATAAAGAGAGCATAAGTTAAACTGCACATAAAGGTCTTATTTTCGTGACGCTGAACGCACAAAAATAAAAATTGAAAGAGAAACAGAGAGAAAGCTGATACCAACATGTACAACATGTCATCGCTGTAGGGTGTGGGAGTGAGAAAAATATTATCTCGTTACTAGACCACAGGAGAAATAACTTGGGATGGAGAAGGGGAAGGGTACCACCTAACTGTCTCAGTTCTCTCGCAAACGTCGAAAAAGAAATTGAATAAAGTAATCACAAGAAAACTCAGAGCTACTACAACAACTCGTGCAAATGAAATAAGCTTTTTACTCCTCAAGAGATTATTGTTTGCTCTCGTTCAGTATCACAAAAACAAAATATATTTTTATATGTTGAAGAAATCTGAAACAATAAGCCAGCGTAAATTGTCTCGTTAAATATGTATATGTAGTTTAACGAACGTGCTAATAGAACAAAGTACTATTTTCTCCGAGGGCAGTTTACCTGTTTGGTATCTATTAATAACTTCATATTAACTAAACTAATCTAATCTTCTCTAGTGATGCTAACGTTACTTTAACTAAAATAAATGTAAAGTCCCTATTTAAGTCGTGACGGAACGCAACAATTGTAGGCAGAAGAAAATATGATATTCGATGAAGAATGAATGCATAAGGAATGATTTGCGAACTGACAATCATCACATCTATTTGAAAAAGAAGCAAAAGCCTAGGATTTTCAAAATATATGTCAGTGGTCATGAGAATGTAGTTTGCAAATCACCGTCTGCCAATCTATGGTTCAATCGGTTTACCGCAAAAATAATTGTTTCGCTGTTTTGATAAAATAATACTCTATACCTTGGCGGTTGATGGATCAGGTGCTATTTTGGCACTTCCGTGCTTTCTTCTAGCATGGCGCTTGTGTCTATGCCTCTGTCGAGCTTTCTTGTGTTGCTGTACTTGCTTCATTCAAATTGCAAGACGACTGTTTTTTGGCAATACTATGAAATTTGCGTTTGTTTCTCCAGAGAAAGAGAAATTATATATTTTTTGGCGCATCGTGTGAAGCCGTGTTAAATCATAGTTTTCTTGTTAAAAGACGCTGACAAAAAAAATAAGCCATACTATATCTTTTCATTGTGTTATTTTTTACTATTGAAACTAGACACAAGCGCATAATTACCAATGCTCGGAAGCAAAGTGATACTTCAAATCTTTGAAAGTGTGAATGTAAACATTTTTCTCGCAAACATTCACTAGATAGCCTGAATTTTTCATGCCTGCTATGTGTTTGTATTTTAGAATATAACTGAATCACATATATGAGCGAATTGCGCTGGTATTGCACGATTCGGCGAAAAAAATAAAAGTCGACTTAAATAATATTTAAGTAGTGCATTCGGTAGAGCTCTATCAGTTGTATATAAATATAGTATTTTCCCAACTGTCGGTTTCTCCCTTCAATAAAAAATTGAGTTTTATAATAATACACATGTCTTTGACAATATTTTGACACCATAAAATGCATGATTTTTTCCGGTTTCTTCATAAAAAAAATTCCGTATGAATATTTATATATTTTTATTATATATCAAGCGAAAGCTCTTGAAACGGAGAATCTAATGCGTATGCGTAGATTATTATCTGCACATATACAAACGTATAAGTTGCGTATGAAGGTGAGGGTAGTATCACCCTAATCATACCTCCATTATTACGCCACTCACTATCAGAACTCTGGGTTGCTTAAGGTATTCAGAATTTTCACTGAATGTAAGAGTGATGTTTCTCAGTTTGAGAGGAGTCGATTGAAGTGAAATTAAATTGTATTTTCTCTAAATATCTATCATATTTTAATCTGTCGAGACATTTAGTAGAAAAATACTGCATCCCTCCTCTTACTTTTAGTTTTTTATTTGATCGAGAAGACCCTTAGAAACAATTTTTTAATCAAAAGATTTCTCACGCTTTAGTCTACCAAACATTAAAAAAATCGAGTTTGCTTTGAAATTGGCGTTTTTTTCTTAAAAACTCTGCAGCGATGTTAGCCAAAGACTTGATATTTTTACGATAAGTAGGGCAGATTCTAAGGAGTATTTGAAAAAATTAATTATTAAAATCGGTCGAGTAGAACTCGAGTTATAAGCATTTTTGTGTTGGAAATGCAATCGTACAATGGCAGCGCAATTCACTCATATACATAATTGCTTTCAACTTTCTTGACAGATATACCATTAATAGAATTATAATTCAGATAACCCATACGATTCGAACCGAACAACTACTGCCGTTTAACCGATTGGTATAATATGCGCTATACCGGCGAAATACATCCGGTGTTTTTGCGAAAGCAATATGGCATAATGCTTTATATCAAAAGGACTCAATATTTTTTAAGTCTGTTTAAACTGCCAGAAATTAATCGATCTCGTTGCTGAGATAATATTTGTCTTAAAGATGACGCTGCAAAAAATTAAAGTTTTTACAATATTTTATTAAACTACGCATACATTGCTTGGCGAGCAAGGACTCTGATTGGCGATAAATTAGAATCAGATTGAAAAAATCTCTGTGTTGTTTTCAATGAGAACCGGAAGATTCATAGGTTACCGATAATATATTGTCGGTGTACCGCCGATCTTCTCACCTAACGCGTTATACAACTGGTGCTGAGAAAAGTATGCGACATGGGAAGCTTTTCTGCTTTTCTGCCTTAGCTATATGGCAGTCCTTCCAACATCTATAAAATTATATAAGTCAGATTATTCTTTTTTCTTTTCTGACTCAGTCATTGGAAAAGCGTATCTCATTTATAAATCTATAGCCCAGATAAATTTTTCTCTGCTACAGAGAAATACTGACATTTTTTCTTTTGAAATATTTCATTTATATTCAAAGTCGGATTGGTCAGCTATTCAAGACAGCTTCCACGTTTTATTGATAGTCGCCTGTAGGATTTCTTTTAAGAAGTCGCAAATGTGCTAGTTTTTTTTCTTTTAGGTATTAATACTAAAAGAAAAAAAGAGAAACGCTCATGAAGAAACGACAAAATAACGTATGACTACTGCTTTGATAGGTAACGCCTTCTCATTTACTATAATCAATGGACCATTTTTATGCATACCCAACCGTCATATTTTTGTTTCTTTTCTTCATATTCCGATAAAGTACACACAGTACTCACCTGCATACATATTAATCGACGTCCGTAATACCATACGCATGTGATATACGCAGTTTGCATTACTCATATTGAATAGTATATATATATATATATATATATATGTGCGAGCGATGCATATTCTTTGGATTCACTTTTTTTTATTGTAGATTAAAGTTTGCCGCGATAAAGTGAGTGATATTCACAATACTGAATCGCGTTCTTGCAACTGCTGAAATGATTGCTCACAATATTTTCTTACTTTTTACGATCAGTATATTATGTCATCAAGTGTCCTGGGTTTATAGCCATGGCTACTTCTCTTATCCGACTCCTCGTAACGCTTATTGTACTAATTCGTCTTGTACTAGTAATGGTACATTAGGAGCTCAAGGGCCAGTTTGGGTTTTACCAGCGAATAGTTCATTACTCACAGCAAGTCCAACAACTCAAACTACATGCAATGGTACTACATTGGCATCTCTTGCCATACAAGGTGTATCTTACGATCCAGGATTTCAAGGTACAGTAGCCGCATCTTGGCCAGCTGGCTCATCTCAAACACTGCGAATATTCATTTCTCAGATCCATACAACAGAAAATCAAACCATTTATCCCACTGATGGTTGGCAAATACGTTATCGGGATGGTACACAGCCTAACTCAACATTTAATGCTATTCCGTTCACTTATGTAAATTTTTCAACCACAGCAACCACTGGTCCTGATCCAGCCATTGGATTCCAATTAGGTCAAACTATTTTGGCCACAATTACAGTTCCATCAAATGCGACTAATGATGGGATCTTTCAATTTTTCTGGCGTAATAATGAAGTTGGCCCAGGTGTTATGTGGCTATCGTGCGTCGATGTTAATATTACTGCTCTCAGCACTAACTTAGTTTCATCAAAGTTTTCTATTTTTATTGCTCTTCTGACTACTATTGGGATATCATTCGCTGTGTAGAAGAATACTCACATTCGTGACGTACAAATAACACTTCATGCTTGTGCTTAATTTTTAATTTATGGACATCACTAATTAGCTTTGAAAAGTACTAATATATCATCTAAAATTAAATAATACATGCTGTTGTGTAAAATTTCATTTTATATTTCCTATCTTATTGCATTAATTTTCAGTTATTCTCATATATCATTACATTACAACTATACGATGCTCGAAAATCTATGCTCACACACCAATTTGAGTTGAATATATGGACACAGCATTGTTGGAGTCTCGATAGATCAGATAGAAGAGTCAAAGAGAAAATGACAAGTCTGCAGTTTGTTCGACTTCGTAGAAATGATTCATTCTGAATGAAAGTTCAAAGAGACTTGAACGCTCACTGAGACGTACTTAGAAATTCAAACGTCTGTCGTGCTTTCCAAAAAATGGAAATCAAAAACATTCTAAGATTCCACTAATAGAATCCAATCGATCGACCCCAAAAATCTTTCAACGAAGTTTGAAAGAAACCTTTACTTTGACAATATGCATCATTCCTAATTAAAAAGAACTGAGTTCATAAATTTTCGTTGCTAGGTAACTAGCGTCTCTATGTTAGATGACTAGAAATAACAGCCATAAACAGTCGCACTCATTCACAGTAGAAATGTTTGTATTGTCGTTATTTGTTCAATAGTCATTCAAACGTGTTTTTAAACTTTCTCGGTAGTTCATTGTCATTAAAAGTATTCCTACATTTCATTTTACTTGCCATGCGCTTTCTTTACAGATGCATGACAGTTGCAAAATTTAGTTCAGTAAGTACCATCCGATCACTTACTGTAGCGCTTCATGCTTGACAATCGGGCTTAATTGATTGATATTATGTCTACTTTTATTTATCGTATATATTATATTCGCTCAGATCAATCAACAGAAAATGGATTAGTACTATTTCTATTAGTTGTACTGAAGTTTTTCTAATTACTTCGAGCAAAACGTATGTTAGGATAAGTGAAAAATTACGAGTGTCGGAGATGATGACGCAGCAGGGAGAAAGATCAAAGACAAAACGTTAGTTTAAATTTTTGATTTACTCAAAATTCTCATCTCACTTAAAAAATCCAACTAATATCGTCATTTAGTTTATTGCGAAGAAAGAAAACACAGTTAAATTAAACAAATTTATTTGAAACATAGGAACAACGACCGATGAACACAAGAGTATGTACTCGTCATCTGGGTTTCTAATTTTTTCGAGTATTTAAAAATAATATTGAAACATCAAATAACTTACTAACCTAACAAAAAGTAACAATAGTCTTTTCTTTCCTTTCGGTGTCCAAGACGTTCTGTGGCGGGCATCATGTTCAATAAGAAAGAATGATTATACATGCCTTTTCTGAATTTCCAGTGAATTCATTTCAATTTTCGGAGTTTTCTTCTAGTTTCCATTGTTAAGGGTCTATACTGTACCGATACCCACACCAATAGATGGATGAACTGAGGATAGCTTGTGTGTTCAAATAACACGAACTTATACATTTTATATAAATTCGGGCATGTGAAAAAGATGAAAGTTAACCATCCTTTGGAGTTGTTTTCCTTTCTTAAAATATAAATTTCTTATTGGTCGACTGCGAGAGAAGATCGCACGAGAGAAATTTTGATACCGACAAAAGAACTCGTTACCTGAAATGGATATCGTAAACTATCCCGGTCTCCAGTACTATTGTACATAACTTGCATACTTACCTTTCATCGAGTAAGCGGTATCTCGAATACTATTCATCTACTAATGATGTATTGTATGACAGTCTAATCAAATAATGTACCTTCGCTGCTCGTTCGCAATATGCTACAAGGCGCAGCCGATGATTTTTCCCTGATAAATGTTTAACGCCACTAACCTTCTCTTGAACGATGACTAAAGACTCATCGATTGAGTCTAATGCTTTTTGGAAATCATTGGAAAAAGCAACAATTAATTTATGTTTTGCCAGATAATGGACTGAAATGTACATTTTAAAGTTATTAAATCGATAAAATATCAATCTACACTACCCTGCAGATGATATTAAAAGGATCACTTTTCGTCTTGGTTTTAGAAATGGTTAGTAGGAAGCTGAGCATTTCTTTTTGAATTGTTCCATATATTACAATTAGATAGTCACTGCAACGCAATATGGACTTTTCGATAGTTCTCCGACGTATAAAAATTTGGATTTTTAATCTAATTATTAATCCAATTTTTTTACATGGGCTGTCATAATTTGCAATTCAATAACAAAATATCGCTGAAGCTGTACGTCTAGGATCTAGAAATAGTAAAGGGGTAGGAAAAAATAACAAAAAAACAGCCAACTAAACCGTGAGAAGATGTAGGAGTGAGGTTAGTCCAATCGTCAGAGTACGACAGTTCAGTTTTTAAAAGTCACACTGTGGCCTATCTTTTCGAAATGATGGATAAATTTCGAGCTTGCAGTTCAAATAAATTTGTCGTATTTGAAATCGATAGTTGCATACTAATTAGTGTGTCTTATTGTATGCATGGAAGTGACATTGAAATATTTAATTGTGTATAACTTTTCACGAAATTTAGCTAGGAACACAATTGACATTTGACATCGGTTCTGTGAGAAATAATATGGGGAGCCACTTAAAACTCTATCTGAAACGTACACGAAATCGAGTAGTTGAAAATGGTAATCCGTTGGCTCGCCGATGGTCGATTGCGAGCTGCATGTTGAGGCTTACTCAAGAAAAATTTAACAAAAAATACATAATTGAACCGATATCTTCACAAAATAGTAGTCTCTAGCAAGAACATAAACAATTTTTTGTTGCATGAGTGTGTGTCTTAACAGACTCAGTCGAGGACCAATACATAGAATTTCTCCTACTTTTCAGGAATTTGTTTTTCATTTTTATACTGGGCCCATATTTATTGTGAGGTCACTGTCTTGTGTTGAATCATAGAATAAATAGCTTAATTTGAAGAGATAAAAGTGGATTGTGTTGTCTTGATGAGAACAAAGATAAAAGAAAGGCAAATACAGACAGCCGGCCGAAAGCTGCGAGCTGAAATAGACTATACTACGATGCATACGTGAATGCATAGATTTTTCTTTTGGAATGAAAAAAAGATAAAATTTTTGTCAGTGGGAGGTATCCGATGTGTAATTAATTAACATGTTAGAAATATTTTATGGGAAACCTTAAGATACGACCATCTTATAATCTTTTTACTTCAATATTTGCCACGCATTTGAAAAATCAATTCTTCAAGAATGAATAATACAGTTTGAGTATGCGATTATTTTACTATTGCTAAACTTTACTTCCATCCAAGAATTTGAATGATACTAGTTATCGAATATATTGTTTTATCATAAAGTAATCAAAAACAAACATGTTATGCAATAATAATAGGATAGATTTGAGCTGGAACAGCATCAAAACCCCCACCATTAAAAATTGGAATAAGATTTGTTTGAGGTCCATCTTTAACACGAGTTATTGTTAATGTTTGTCTTTCATAAAAATTTTCGTTATCAAACGACAATTCTTTAGGTGTCAATATAAAACAGTCGTTATATTGAGCTGATTTCCATTGAATACGAGCAGTAGAGTTTCCATTAATTTGATGTGGAGGAGTCGAAAGCCATACTTGAATTTGAACAGCTTCATTTAACATAATTTTAGTTGATTGAGGGTAATATAAAAGTCCAAGCATAACATCACGACAGATGGATGACCAATTTTCGGGAATTGAATCAAAATATTTATCATCTGGTTTTCCTATTGATATTATTTCATACGGTGTTGTGACTTGTACTACGTTCCATCCTTGACGAATTACTTTAGTTGATCGAAGAGGAATTTCAGTATCTTTCTTAAAATAAATTTCTTCACATGGATATATATTTCCTGGATCAGTTCTACATGTTACATTAGCATACCAGTAATCTTCATCTTGAGATGAATTCATTGAATGTATCATTTCATATGGATATTTTATATAATTTTCAATTTTGAATGAACTTCCATTAAGCCAATGTGATGGAAATGAATTAAATACATTTCCACCATATTTCCAATATGTCCCGTACATACAACCGAGAGGTGGACTATCCACTAATAATTGAACATAATATTTTGATTGAGGGGAATCAGGAATTGAGTATGGAAAATGTTTCGTAACATACGAATTTTCTTGTCCTTTTGAACCATAAGCACTTGTTTTAAAAGCTTTCTGATTGATTTCATCAATAGCAATTACAGTTCGACCACTATCAGGCGAAAATACAATTTGAGAAGGAAAATATGGTTGGTGGGATTCTCCCAAATAATGACATGTTATAAATGACAGTAAACAAAAGAAAATTTTCATTATCTAAAATTTGTGGAAATATTTTTTTGAAGATACATCGATAACGACTTAATAGAATATATAGTTGATTTTTCTTTTGTAATAAATAAGAAATGCAATTGTCATCGAATCATGAATTGACAAAAAAATGCGCTTTAGTAGCCTTCATATTTTTTATTGTTACAATGCTTCGATAAACGATTTTTTCTTTCACAGGTATTATCATGCCAGCTGTGTCAACTTTATTACCGATAATATTGCTTTTATGTTACCATTGGAAAAAAAAACTTTCTTTTTTTTAGCTATTCGACTTACACAGAAATCACTGGACCCTCGACTGAACATTAGGCTTCTCGGTATTGTACACTGCTTTACATTTCTCATAAAAGTAATACTATCCAACGCTTGAGAAAGAGCGTGTGAGTGTAGGCATGCGAGAACTCTTTGAATAACCACACCCACAGCAACACCCTATAAAACGCGTTGAGACGCAATTAAAAATGATTTCACGACGCACGCAAACGCGTCTCAGATATCCTTCCAGTAGCGTTGAGATGCTATCATATTAAATGAGCTCGTTTGCATGCTTTCATTTCTTGCGTTTCAGACGCTATTTTATTCCAATAATCTTTGTTCTAGAATGGTTAATCGCACGATAGAAATCGTTGGCTTACATATATTTTATTTATCTAAACTTCATTAGATTTTGTAATAAAGAATGTTCAGATAACGCTAAAATAGGCAAAAATTTAATTAAAAAGAAGGGATATATTTCTCTAAAGTTTTGTAAGAATAATAATGAGACAATATCGCAATACTTTTCAACTATCCAATGACCTTTTAGCAAAATGATAAACACTATTATTTAAATTATATGATTAACAATTTTTATCATACTTCGAAATGAATTGTATCATAGGCGGCGGAGCCCTTAGGGTAGGAGGGGCTTGTGNTTATTTTTGCTTTTCCTTATATTGATAATGAAATAAAAATTTTGATAGTGTAGTAAAATTTTCAATTGTTCTCAAGGTCTGCAAATGCGTCAGTGAAGAAAATGCTTGGAATGAAAGTTGTGATAACGAAATTGAAAATTCTGTTTTCTCTCCTAATGTCGACTTGCTATGGTTATTATGAAAAATGTTTTTGAGTCCCCCTAAATTAGAAACACTCCGCCGCCTATGAATTGTATTAATAATTATTTTTCATTAAATCCTTCGATTAAATTATACACGATGTTACCACTGCAATTAAAAATATTTTCATAATATTAATTATGTTTAGTGGACGATAAAAAACAGATCAGTTTAATTTTAAAAAAATAACTGAAAAATCACGTTATATGTTAAATATCTTACTTCAAAAAAAGTATTTAAGCGATGAAATCTTCATGCAAACATATTTTATTTTGTACAAGAAAGGATTTCGAGCTAGTATAGTAAAATAATACATGTGAACCACTTCTGCTCACTGGTTCATCAGTTCAAATCTGAGATGGAGTCTGATATATTTTTCACAATTTTTATATGAAATGCGTTCAGATGCTTCGAATGTTTCACTGGAAATAGATTCAAACGAGTTCACTCGCAGCGTTTCCAGTCCAAAAACGTACTATATGGGATTAATTTAAGAGTTTTGCCGAAAGCAGCCACGAAATTGATTTATATTTCTCATTCACATGCCTACTTGAAAATTGTTAAAGTAATGTCAACTATCAAATGTGTAAGACGCTGCAACGTATGCACCTTGCCTGCTTTGGCTTCGTGATAAACTTATTCTTTCTTCTAAAACTCGCCATTCCTGACTAGGTGTTGTGAAAGAAATTCTGTCATTAGGGATACTATACGTATGTAACAGTAAATAATGATAACGAATCTTTCTTTTTTTGTCGTCATTAGTTTTTTTTTAATATGGTAAGCAGGACTTAGCTCTTTTGCGTCAATAATTTGTCACCTATGAGATAGATAGTAGGCAAATGTGTGTTTGCGAGAATCTTGCTAATATCCTTGGCGATTATCATATTTTTTCTTCGTAGGAGACAATATCAGAGTTTCTCTCTTATATTATCCTACTACGAGAGATAACTATTATAAATATTCTTTTAAAAACATAGTGTGCTACAGTCCGTATAAGTAACGAACTAAACTATTTCGTAGCTGAATTAACAAGTATGGCTGTGAGTAGACGAATATTAGGGATCGGTGGTAGCCTTCTTATGATTTTAGCCTGTATTTTGTACATCGTCAGCAATGCAGTACCGATATGGTATGTTATAGAATGATTATTTTTTCATTAACCCATACATGTTACCAAGAACTTCGGCAAAAATAACTGTGTATCCAACGAGATATGTTGATGAATTTGCTTGTCTAAAATCTGATGAGCGACCCGAATTTTCGAAATGCTTTTTATTCACAACGGGTAGCTCATCGTTTATGATTAATCTTTATACAAAATAGATAATAAAAACTTTTTCTTTCAATTTCCTCAAAACCGATCATACATCTAGCTGTTTCAAAAAAGTGAATACCAGTTCCAATAGTAAGCAAGGAATCTTGGAGGCATTTTACGAAAATCTCTTAGTTAGAGCCATGTCCATATCAAGAATATAGATTGTCGCTACACTAATGTCTTCAGTGGACTAAAACGTTATTGCATCTGTATTGCCTTTTGAAGTTAGAGTGAAGACATGCTTTATCTCACATGTTCTAAATTGAAACGAATTAGATGACTCTATCTGTGGCATATTATTAGCCAAAGTGCCTATGTTAATTTGGAAAGGTTACTTTACAGTTTATTTCTATTATTCACAGTTAGCTTACAAATGGGCAACGAAACATAAAGAATGAAGTTACATTTGAAAAGACTACTCGAAATTAGGCCAGATAACGTTTTCCACCCTGAATTATTCTACCATCTTGGTTAACCAGGCAGAAATGCCAGAGAGCGATAATAAAAAATAACTTGTTGCATCAAATATGCAAATTCATGTTTCAGGGGTACAGTAAAAGTGGGACAAGCCACAAACACAATTGGCTTATGGCAAGGCTGTATTTCAATACCGGGTTACACACAATGTAGTGCTTTGGTCTGTCTACTACCAGGTTCTACTCCCTGCATAAAAAATGGAGCTGCCAGAGCATTTGTTACGCTTGCCTGTATTTTTTCAGCAGTCGCTGCGCTATGTCTTTTGGCATCTGCGATTCTAACAGATGTAAGTAAACTTTTGGCTATGATGGTCAAGATAGTTCCATTCAGTTCACTTCTGGTGGGTGTCATTGGTGTTGGAGTGGGTATCAATTTGGTCACTTACAAGACTGTATTTTCAATTGGTGCGGCTGCGATAGTTGGAATTCTTGCGCTCATTCTCAATCTGGCTGGTACAATTCTTGCCTTTCTGATTCAATGAGTGATTAAACGTATGCAAAAAATTTAACAATGTAATGACAGTTCTTTTACTGAGTACGCATTGCAAAGCCATTGTTACTGTTCTGCTTTTTTTTCTGTAGTTGATTAATAGAGCATTGGTGTCTCGTCGGTAAAACCAATGCAATGATTAATTTTAATTGTTTTTTTTTATCTTATATGCACATGCAAATCAGTGTTATCTAAAAACTCTGAATTCAAATTTTTAGCGTCTTCAGTTGAATTGGTCATACGTTGACCTTGCATAGCTTTTTGATTCTGGTCGATTTCGATAAAAAAAAAAGACAGATTACTATTGTTGTTGAACTGCACACATTTATTCAGCATAAACTCATTCAATGCTGTTCAAATCTGATCATTCAGAAGGTGTGGGTGTGGGGTGTGTTTAACACTAAAGTTTTAGATTCGAAGAAGTATACACAACGCGTTTCGATCATGGTTTAGTCTGATTAGCATCATCAAGTATCTTTAGAAACTAAAATTACATTATCATCTAATGAAGAATTCTGTAGGCTGTTGATTTTGTTTTATAAGTCTCGGAATCTAAAAACAAAACAAGGAAGAAAACGGAGAGAATCTTATATCGTCCATATTTAATCATCATTTTTCAATGAGTTTAATCTCCGTGGAGTTGATTTGATTTTGAGCCGGCTTCTTGCTTATGACATAGTTTTGTAGTGTGTAATCTATATCAGGAATCAATCGAATTCGCACTGCTTTCAGTGATATTGTAGCGTTGCCATACTATTGGTTCCACCAGCTATGGAGATGTCGAATTAATATTGGAGATAAATTGTTGTTTTATCCCATGTATTCGGTTGCTGACCTGTCGAATTTCACCGTATTATAGCTTATAACGTTGTGTTGGCTGGTGAAGTAGTTGTTGGTGTAAACAACAATAAGAATTTTCAGTTAGTTCTAGTAATAAAGGAATACCATCAGGTATCGCAGGAAGAATGGTTCTCCCAGTATTTTACTGATAAGGGTGTGGGTGTGAGTATAGGTACACGTGTGCATGGCTTTCCTCTAAACTACACCCATACCCTCGTTTCGGTAGTGTTAGCGATGCTCGCGTTGCATTACTTGTGATTTATTCTGGAGGAATATGCATTATTCCGAATTTTCATGATTTTGGAGTTTTTTTTTATGAATGATGATAAAAAAATGGGAAGAATATCTGAATAATAGGAAGACTAATTCTAAAAAATGAATGGATATATCGATGTTGTTACAATCGCCTTGACTGAACACGAGGACAGAAGAACATAGCCGATTACAAGAAAAGAATAGTTGAGAATGACGCGAGTTTCCCGTCTATCTTTTCACAGATCAAGAATAAGGATAAACACTTGCTACATGATATATTAGAGATAGTGTTCAATCAACTTCGTACTCAATTTAGTGTTGCCATTACTGACACAATCTATGGGTGGTATTTGAACTTAATTTAATTAGAAGTATGTAAAGTGTTGTAATAGTAAAAAAGCTATAAAATAATTATGATAAAAAGTACTTAAAAGAGGACGAAATATAATAAAACAGATGTGCTACTGTGCTTGGTATTATAATAGCTGTACTCACCCTTACTCTCATCCTTTATAGAGGCATCTCTTTGCAACATACAAGATGGGTTGTTTCCTTTGCTAACATTCTTCAAAAATGCTTTTATTACCAAAGCTCTCATCCAATTTATTTTCGATAGATACTTTCTTAGAACTTTATTTTTTCTTTCGGTTTCTAACATGATCTGCTCACTTAATTTAAGAAAAATCAATTCAATCATTATCAACATTTTCTTGAAAGAAACTGCAAAATTGTTTGTAGTATGCGATGTAAATTTTAATAGCTCACGAAATTCATCGTGATGACGCTGTCATAGTTGTTATCCTTTGCGTATTTAAAATGTATGTGAAAGTTTTCTTGTGTCACAACTTAGCACAGAATTACTTACTGACATGCATTTATTTTTATTTTTCATCGCTATTTTATGCTTTGCTCAAGCAAAATCCAATGAGTTGACGTCACCGAAACTTTGGAACTTGTTCAAACGTGTTCACAAAAAGCAGTATGTCAATGTTGAAGAAGAAAATTATCGGTAAGAAAGAAAATTAGGATGAAGAGTATCCGTGCTATTGAATCTTGCGATCTTTCTAGTCGAACTATCTTTGACGGCAGACTCGCCATGATCAATCAACATAATTTTGAAGCTAATTTGGGCTTGCACACTTATACACTCACAATTAACCAGTTCGCTGACATGGTATAGTCGTGAATTGTTTGATTTCAGATATCAGCATTGATTAAGATTATTAGTCACATAAATATTGAAATTATTCGGTTTCGATTCTATTTCCATGAATTTCTAAGAGAAACGTTTTTTTCCTGAATACTGATATTATTTTTGATATTTAGACATATGACGAGATTGTGCGAACTATTTCAAATAAATATACAATGAGTTTAGCTACAAAGATATCAACTAAATCTGATCGACAAATATTTCGTCCGCCATCGAACTTATCGATACCAGCTACTGTTGGTCAGTATCTTTTGACTGAACTATTTTTGACAAAATGTACTTGTAGATTGGCGTAAGAGGGGTGCTGTAACTTCGATAATTGAGAGTCAAGGTCAATGCGCTTCGGATTGGGCTTATACAGCAACGACTGCATTGGAAGGACAACATTTTCTTAAGACGGGTAAACTGGTACGACTTTCAGCTCAGAATCTGTTGGATTGCTCGGGTAAATTTGGCAATCAAGGCTGTAATGGAGGATTAGTGAATGCTGCATTTCAATANACAGGTCCAGGCCTTTGGACTGATACTATATTTGATTATCTTAATGAAACATTTAATATTAATAGTTCTACATTGTCAAAATTGAACCAGGGTCGACTAATTGGCGATGTTTATTATTTACCGGTAGCAGCATTTTCTCCAGTTGCTATTAGCTTGGGTGCAAAAGGCAGAAATGATAAAGAAGCACTTGTTTATCATGATTTTCAAGGAAGTTGGAAACCAAACTTGATCCAGAAATTTTTCAAACTGATACGTTCTCATATACTGTAACTTGAATTAATTAGACTTCATTGAAAATAAATGCTCTAGCTTGTGGACTGTGTGACTTTCGATCTAGCTATCCTTTCTCTTGAGATTATGAGTGGTTGTGCCTTATTATTTCTATTCGAACACTCACACCCATTTCGAATTGGCCACTGAAGCAAATAGTTTGTTTAAATTTTCTTTTTTTGTGATAATTCCTGATAGAATTGCTTGGCTATTGAGTTTATTGATGTTTGCTAATAAACTATTCCATGCGATATTCATCAATCAATTTAGTCATACACTACAATGATCTTTGAGTTCATATGCTAAAGAGGGTGTGGGTGTGCCTTTTGTAGTAGCGACCACGACGTGTTTCGACCTTGTTTAAGGATCTCATCAAGCAGCGTAGACTTTGACAGCTATTCGAAATGATCTTAAGATCACACATAAATTACTTAATATAAATTGATTTCAATTTGCAAACAGATTGACTTACTTCTTAACAAAGAAAACAAATCAAATATTGCATAATTTCTAAATAATATGCTTAAAATTTAAAATAATGAAAGAAATCTAGAGTTTAATTTTGCCGACAGGTTTTGTATTATTTATTTAAAAAATAATGAAACCTTTTTCAGGGCTCTGCATGACAAATATTAATCATTCCTATCAAATATCAGAACCAAAAGATCGATACAATATGACTGTTAGAATATTCTACATAGTCAATTGATGATAGTCGGAGATCCAAATTTTGAAGCTTTTGATCAATACTTTCAGTCACGCAAGGAGTGTATTATTGTTTTCCAGTGTTCGTGCTTGTGTTAAACAGTCTCACTTCATGATTCAGAGTGCATCCGTGTGAATCTTCTCTGGCAACTAGGCAACTCAATTCACGACTGAAAATGTATCTATGTAAATCTTTCCTGGTGACTGCGTGTTGTAATTCATGCTAATTATGCAACCGTGTACATTTTATTCTTTAAATTAATCATCGTCGATACTTTCCATTGATCGTTATGGATATATTTCCATTTTTTTTAAATATTGACGGTGGACCAATTCATCAGTGAGAATATAATTGTGTAAATATTCTATGATATGGTTAGAGATTAATTGGACTGATATGTATGTTTCTTAAGATAAAATTGGCAAACACTTCCTAAGATCTTTATTTAAATTGTTTTGACGGGTTATTTTAATATAAATAGGACTGAAATTATATTTGAATATCTTCGTATAGTATAGTATTTATGTTTCAATAAAGTACTTTAGCTTGCATTCGGAAGATGTAGCCATAGGCGGCGGAGCCATTAGGCGTGGTAGGCTCAAATTATAATAATTAAACGTTCGAGTAGGCTCTATTACATGTAAACGTTATTTTTCGAGCATTAACAAGGAGAAGAAATTAGGCCTCAAGAAAATAACAAAACTTAGTACGGTGTGTGTGCTTTTAAATGCACGACAGATTGGTAAAACTATGTTTTATGAATACTGCAAATTGATAACATTATATTTGACAATACGTGTAACAACACCCACTGCTGAAAGATCATTCAATGTTCTTAATAGAATCAAAACATATTTACGTTACACAATGAGTCAACAACGTTTAAATCACGTTATTATCCCTCACATTCATAAAGATAAATTAGATTACTTGATTTGAAGAGCGTATGTTCTGATTTTATTTCAAAGAATGAAAATTAAAAAAGCACTTTTTGGTGCTGTATGATTTTATTACGTTTTAGACTCGTTTTATTTTATAAGTAGTTGTTCTGTGATACTTCGCTATTTCTTGTTTTATCTCAAAAGAATACAGCACTATATAGTTATCACACTTATACAGAATCAAAATCTAGCAAGAAGGCATATGATGTCTAGCTTTGAAAAAATGTGATGAACGTCATTTTCACTCCCTTTTTCTGACATCATTTCGTTGGAAAATTTAGCCTACCCTAGATTGAAATCGTTCCGCCGCCTATGGACGTAGCATACATTAGTTGTCATCAATTCATTTCTATTGTTTTTTTAAATATATTGAAATTATGTTTAAAATTTATTATAATTATCTTTTGAATCTATTGTGTAAAATATTTTTTAAATTGTCCTCATATTATTTATCAATGTGAAGGTGTGGGTGGGCATCAAGTGAGAACCAACACCCACATTCTCTCAGGGCTATGGAAGATGATTACTCATATTTTCGATGATTGTAACGAATTCTGTCATCAATCAAGGCTTTATATTCGACTTTATTTATGTTGTTGATACCATTATAAAAAAGAATGACATAGCATAGAAAAGAGACACCAAAATATTTAATTCTAAACAAGTGGATAACTAGCCCAGTTCGCAATTCCACATTGATTATTCTTGTTGCGACTCATCCAGATATAACCATTCAAACCCCATGTCTCACCCCAAGAGTTTTTTACAATATAATAATCTCGTTTCGTCGTTCCATTATTAAATACATCATATCCAACAATAGTCATTGTGTGAGACCATTCTTTAGTTGAACATGCCGGTTCATCATAAACACCTGATGAATAAAAAAAGAAAGAATCGTGTAAATCATCAACAGCCACTCCAATGGGACCCACAGTAGCAACAGCTATTTGCAACGCTGTTTCGTTTCCTTTTTCAATATTAACAAAACCCTATAGGGTGAGTAGAAAAAAGGAATAAAAAAAAGAAAGTGATATATATGTAATATTTACTCTATCAGTTGCACCCACAGTCGATCGATTGAAGCGACATTTGCCTTCCATTGCTTCGTATGGATAGCTTGCTTCTGTGTCTACACCTTTGTTGGCTTTTATGTATTGAAATGCAGCATTCACTAATCCTCCATTACAGCCTTGATTGCCAAATTTACCCGAGCAATCCAACAGATTCTGAGCTGAAAGTCGTACCAGTTTACCCGTCTTAAGAAAATGTTGTCCTTCCAATGCAGTCGTTGCTGTATAAGCCCAATCCGAAGCGCATTGACCTTGACTCTCAATTATCGAAGTTACAGCACCCCTCTTACGCCAATCTACAAGTACATTTTGTCAAAAATAGTTCAGTCAAAAGATACTAACCAACAGTAGCTGGTATCGATAAGTTCGATGGCGGACGAAATATTTGTCGATCAGATTTAGTTGATATCTTTGTAGCTAAACTCGTTGTATATTTATTCGAAATAGTTCGCACAATCTCGTCATATGTCTAAATATCAAAAATAACATAAACATTCAGGAAAAAAAACGTTTATCTTACGAGGGAAGGATCCCAGGTGTTACGCTCCATTTTGAATCGGACGTATGCCATTTTGTAGAGCTCCGTGAGACTAGCAATAGTCTAAAAGGGTTTCTCCCCATGGACCTTTGAAGTCGATTTATGGCCTTTTTACTGAATGTTTGACCATTTTTTCGATATTGAGCAATAAATCAAATAACGGAGTTTTGATCTGAAATTTCCCCATAGATAGGTCTAATCACCTTTAGAATATCCTGAAAATTTCAGCTGAAAAGAATGTTCCTTTGTCGAGATATTGAATTATTAAAAAACCATCGCTTATTAAAGACAAGGTGCAAAATGACAGCTTACTTCAATATCCAATATCTCGACAAAGGAACATTCTTTTCAGCTGAAATTTTCAGGATATTCTAAAGATGATTAGACCTATCTATGGGGAAATTTCAGGTCAAAACTCCGTTAATTGATTTATTGCTCAATATCGAAAAAATGGTCAAAAATTCAGTAAAAAGGTCATACATCGACTCCAAAGGCCCAAGGGGAAAAACCCTTTTAGACTTTTGCTAGTCTCGCTGAGCTCTACAAAATGGCATATGTCCGATTCAAAACAGAACGTAACACATGGGAACCTTCCCTCGTTAGAAATTCATGGAAATAGAATCGAAACCGAATAATTTCAATATTTATGAGACTAATAATCTTAATCAATGCTGATATCTGAAATTAAACAATTCACGACTATACCATGTCAGCGAACTGGTTAATTGTTAGTGTATAAGTGTGCAAGCCCAAATTAGCTTCAAAATTATGTTGATTGATCATGGCGAGTCTGCCGTCAAAGATAGTTCGACTAGAAAGACCGCAAGATTCAATAGCGCGGATACTCTTCATCCTAATTTTCTTTCTTACCGATAATTTTCTTCTTCAACATTGACATACTGCTTTTTGTGAACACGTTTGAACAAGTTCCAACGTTTCGGTGACGTCAACTCATTGGATTTTGCTTGAGCAAAGCATAAAATAGCGATGAAAAATAAAAATAAACGCATGTCAGTAAGTAATTCTGTGCTAAGTTGTGACACAAGAAAACTTTCACATACATTTTAAATACGCAAAAGATAACAACTATGACAGCGTCATCATGATAACTTCCATGCGCTATTAAAATTTACATCGCATACTACAAACTATTTTGCTATTTCTTTCAAGAAAATGTTGATAATGATTGAGATGATTTTTCTTAAATTAAGTGAACAAATCATGTTACAAACCGAAAGAAAAAATAAAGCTCTAAAAAGTATCTATCGAAAATAAATAGGATGAGAGCTTTGGTAATAAAAGAATTTTTGAAGAGTATTAGCAAAGCAAGTAAACAACATTGAAAAATACCACCAACCCATCTTGTATGTTGCAAAGAGATGACTCTATAAAGCAAGGGGGAAACGGCGGATTGTGTATTTCTGGGATTTCCAGTCTTTTTTCGTATTTTTCGTATGTCTGGGATTTTCATATTATTTCTGGGATTTTCATGTTATTTCTGGGATTTTTTTTCTACTTTAAAAGTTTTGCACAGAAGGTTATAAAGGAAGACAGCAGGTTAAACAATAGTAAAAATATAATCTGTTGCCGTCAGTTAGCGAGACACGTCACTTGTTATAATGGGTATCAAGCCAACCGGGACTTCAGAGAATGCTAGTTTATCGTATTTTATTGGAAAAAAAATAACAAAAATCAAAACGAAAGAACAAAACCTATTTAACTACCTATACAATTAACAATTGGATCTGGTTTTTCGGTATTGGCCAGAGGCAAAGAATTGTGTATGTGTTCGATTTTATAAAAGTATTATGCTTGGTCATGCTACTGCAGATATAGTTTCTCGATCTATTATTGACTCACTAAAATCGGATGAAGTTGATATTACAAAAATGTTGATGCTCGGTATGTCATAATTTTCACTTATGATTCGTATCTTATGTTTTATTCTCCTAGGGGGAGATAATCCCAATGTAAATAAAGCAATCGAAGATATTCTTTATAAAAAAAGTAACTGCTGAACGAAAAAAAAAGTAATGAGCCTCAATTTTCTATGATTTCTGGTGATTTTTTAATATTGTTCATCAGATCATCGTCTGTGCCACTGCTCGGTCTTATTTCGATCGGTTCATGTCCTTTGCATATTATTCATGGTGCTTTTCGGAAAGGATTTAAATCAACGGTATGGTTTATTGATGAATCAATTAATGATATTTGGTGTTGGTTTTCTCGATCTTCTGCTCGTCAGGGAGATTTTATAACAGCTGCGACTAGTATTAATGAAACTTATTCTCGTTTTCTTTCTCGGTTTGTTGTTACTCGATGGATTAAAGTAGGTCCGGTGATCGAACGTATCATTGATCAATAGAATATTGTGAAAGAATATTTTCTTACGTATCTTCCAACAATCGATAAAAAAATTGAAGCGAATGATAAATATGTCCGAATTAAAAACTTTATAGCTGATAAATCGACTCTTGCTAAATTTCATTTTATTATTTTTCTCTATCAAACAATATTTAAAAGAGAACTTGTCTGGTTGCAGCAGGAAGAACCATTTGCTCATTTACTATATGGTGAATTTTGCAATTTGTTGCGCAATATTATGTTGCCATTTGTCAAAGAAGAACTTTTAAAAGATAAAGAAGGTAGTGATTTGTTGTCTGTTTCTTTCGAGCATCAAAATAGTCAAAAAAATAATGCAAATATCGACATTGGTGAAACTACTCGAACATATATTAAAGATTTATCTGCTAGTGAAAAAGCAATTTTTTTTCAAAATATTCGTCAAGTGTACTGTACTATAACAGTGAGTAATGATTTCAAACTAATTAGATGATAGTATTATAATATTTGAGAAGGAACTAACTAAATCATTGCCACTTAAAAATGATTTTTTAAGACATCTCCAATGTCTTCAACCTTTAGCTCGACAACAAGAATCTTCTCGAACAAGTATCATGTACCTGTCACGACATGTTCCATATTTATTAACCAATGAAGAGATAGATCGAGTTGGTGCTGAATGGCGTGTTTATCAGATGGCTGATATACCAGAAGAATGGTTTAGGAAAACTACAGTTTATTCGGATCATATAATTGAATATTTACCTATTGATAAATATTGGTATCGAATATTTTCTACTGCTACATCCACTGGTACGCCGCAATATGTAGTATTAACCAAGCTCGTGAAATGTTTATTATCTTTATCTCATGGGAACAGTGACGTTGAAAGAGGTTTCTCCGAAAACAATCATCTTGTACCAGATGATCGTTCATCATTAAATGAAGCATCTATTAATGGTTTACGAGCTACGAAAGCTGCTGTTAAATTTTTCCGCGGTGGTAAAGCTCATGCAGTGAGTATAGTCCTGATTTATTTGAAATGTTGTCATTTCTATCTTTAGGTTCCGACAACATCTACTTTGATTTCAAACGTGAAAGAAGCTTATTCACGTTATACAAAAGACAATGAGCAACAACAGAAATTAATTAAAAGTACAGATGTTGCTAATGGTAAACGAGGTCCTGAAGTCGAGCATGAACGTTTAGAAGAAAAAGAAACTCAATTGATAAATGAACAAAAGAATTTACAAGAAGAATTGACTAAAGTGACGAATATGTTGGAGGAAGGGACCACAAGACTTGCTGCAGCTATGAAGAATAAAAAATTTGATGATATAGGCACAACCGAAGTACTGGTGACAGCTGCTAATGCTAAATTAGCTGTTTTGAAAACTAAATTAATTGAAAATGATGAAAATTTGAACCGATTAAGAAAGAAAATAAATTAATAATTAAAATAAATATATTTTGAACATTATCTTTCGTTTTTGTGAGAATGCTCAAAAAATATTTTGTATAAATTTTAAAGATAGATGAGTAAAATAACAGGAAAGATCATAATTATGCTAACTTACTCCTATGGGAATAAATCATAAAATATCAGGACAAAAAACGGGATTTTTAGTCAAAATCAGGACATTTTTAAAAAATCAGGGAAAAATCAGGAAAGTAAACACGCTGCGAGGCCTGTAAATCGGATGGTTGGCAATAATTATACGAACATCTAATACCATCTGATATGTTCGTATAATTTTTTTTTCGTGTGTGTGAAGGTGTCAGGATCGCCATCTATATAATGAATATAGATGGACGATCCTTCGTATTAATATATTGGATATATCCCGGTAATTGAGTGGTTAACTTTATTTTTCGGTGGTTATTGTATTTTAGTCGAGTTGACTGTGAACTGTTTTTCTTCTTGTTTTTCTTTTTGTTTTCTTTCATCTTTTTTTGTAAAGGCTTGGGTCTTATTACTTTTTGAAATAAATTTATTAATCCATAAAAGAACCTAACAACAATGATCCAAAACATCGGGCGGGTGTTGTTACCAATTGGTTGAACAGAAACGCAATTGAGCAACTAAATTGACCATCTTTTTCTCCGGACATGAATCCCATAGAACATCTTTGGAATGAAGTTGAGCGCCGGCTAAAGAAAAAGCAGACTAAAAATCAAAAGGAGTTGAAAGAATGCCTCATTGAAGTATGACAAGGAATCGAGCTGCCGGTCCTAAAAAAAGCTGGTTGATTCGGTTCCAAATCGTTTAAATGAAGTAATTTGAGTAAAAGGCTATCCAACAAAGTATTAATTGTATAAGAAAAAGGCTTGTTTTTACTCAGGTCGATCAAAATGGACCACCGTAAACGGTCGTTTTTGCATCATATTTCGTCGTAAAACGGCCGCTTTAAGCCATATTAAGGCGTTTTAACAGGGGCAGTATTACGGCCATACACGGACACCATATAAACTTGTAAGGCTGGCATAATATTATCGTATTCTATAGAACATACGGCCGTATTTGTATCGTATACGACCGTTTACTGATCGTTTTCTTCGACCGGAGTAGGTTGAAACATTTTTTGTTATAGTGGTTGGACAAATTTGGCGTGCGAAAAATTCGATGTTCTTTTTTTTGTTTTAATAAAACATGGACAACATGAGACTCAGACTTAAGACTAGCCATAAGCACACTAGAGATGATAAGTGCCAATATGATAGTTGTTGGCAGTTCCTAGTGACTTTCGCTTCTTAGATGAAAATAAAAGAATTTTTTTTCTGTAGCTGGTGGGATCATTTTGACAGCCACTGTATCTAAACGAAAAAACTTATTTCAATCATATAGATAAGTCCGCGTCGTCGAGTGACATCTAGTGATTGCAACACGACCTAAAAAAAGTACACTATCTAGCGGTTTTCCTATAAGAGTTCAAAAGAAAACAACTTCGTTAATTAATCACAATGAAATTTCGAAACAAAAATTTCATATACTTATGTGTCCAAGCTACATGTACACCTCTACACAGGCTATGCTACCAACGTAACAAGAATATCATGGTCTATTAATTCATGGAAGCATAACTAAGCGAGACAAGCCAAGCCAAACCATTTTGACAGCGATAAATAAACAGCAAAAAGTAATTGGCAGCAAACAAAATCAAGTGTGTATGTTCCAATATTGCCTGAAACGTACGTATATTTGATTTCTAACATTATTGGGCTAGTGATAAGGTTAAAGTCAACAAACAAGAAGAATTGCAAATAAAATGAAAACGTATGAGGAGATATGAGAACAAGATATCTAAATAAATAAATAGCCTTGATTGTAGAAGCTTTTATAAAAAAAAATAGTATTATTACAAACTATTCTAGTCATACTGTTACCGAAAATGTTTTACATATCATAGAGAACTCGAAACTGTTTATAGACGTTTTTAGTTATAAAAGACGGTTTATCGATTTTTGTGCGTGCGCATCAGTAAAAGAGTGTAGCTATTGAAATAGTCTCATCAAGTGACAGATTTGTCTTTCAGAATATTTATTTTCGATATTAGCACGAAACAAAATGTTTTCATGAAAAAATCATTTTGGTGAATCAACTTGAACTGATTTTACTGTATTTTGGATCGTTCACGACAATGATATAATATATGCTCACATATATATTTAGCTGTTGTTTATTATTAGAAACGCTGATCACGGGCACACAGTATAATATCATTGATTATGCTTTTTATTCTTACAAATTATAGAAATTTACCACCGAATTATCTTATGAGACACCTAATATCATATGACGAACAACTACTATGCTAACATAAAACAATTCACTGACTATACTGGGCGCACTCTAGCTGTTTGCTTATGGTGCATTATTTTCCTATGTTATTTCGCATTTACTTTTTCAAAATTCTTTATAACAACTACTGCTAGTCATAACCTTAGGACAGCAACAAGAAAGTATAATCAATTGAACATTCCTCAAAATATCATTCAAACAGGTTTATACAGTAGTACTCACTGGCCTTATACTACATCATGGAAACAACTGAATCCAAATGCNGAACGGACCAATATTATCGTTTTATTATAGACAATAAATAGATTGTTTTATTTATAAATCTCAAAAGTAATTTTATTTTATGGGAAGACAAGGTAGAAATATAACAGTGCGCATTACGACTGATATAAATTTTAATGAATCTGAAACTATGAGAAATCAATAATTAGAAACGATAAGCTATTTATAACATATTTTTATGTTTAACAAGTTTGAAGAAAACGAAAAAGTGAAAAACAAAATTTATTCTTTTTTTTGTGCACTACTTTTTCTTCAACAATTAATCGGAAACCTTTGTTTTTTCTCAATCGTGTTACTGTAGTTCTTCTTGTAATCGCCGGGGGGGGGGGGGGGGGGGGGGGGGGGGGGGGGGGGGGGGGGGGGGGGGG